ACACATTGTGTTGAATACCTGCTTTGGCAAATATTGTTTCTGAGTTTACCTCATGACGACATGCTGCTGGGACGGTTTGCCAAGCGATGACCAGCTGCTTTTTGTTGGTGTTCTTTGTGCTCCGTTTAAAGAGCCATTATCACAAAATATAGGTGTGGTGTTCACCTTGGCGAGTTCTTCTTTTTATACATCTGGCCTGACAGAGAAAGATTTGAACTGAAGGCCCCTGAAACGCAGGTTTGTGCCTGTACATGTAACCAGCACTTTGCCAACAAAAACCTCAATCAAATCCCCACAGTTTTCAGAATCTTTTCAAAATGATATTCAGTGGTTGAAGAACCACTCGAATCATTTTCACTTCAGTAGAAGTACCAATAAAACATTCTAAATATACTCCATTACAAGTAAAAATACTCAAATATGAGTACAGAAGCCAGAGTAAAACGAGTTAGTGATTTCTCATTATCTATGACATTATTAGATTATTATAAGATAAGATAAACTGTAAAAAATAAAATATAAAACATAATTGAAGACAGTATGAATGGTTGACTTCATATATGATGTTATATATTGATAACTGATGCAACAGTGTGCAAGACGTATTTACTGTTGTAGCTGGTCGAGGTTAGCTAACGACTAACTATATATACTGTAGTTGTTTCCAACCTGGTGGTCTAGCCCCTCCAAAGGGTCACAAGATAAAAATAAGGGGCCATGAGATGATTGATGGAGTCGGAATGAAAGTTCTTCCACAGATTAATTTTTAAAACTTTGCCCTAATGTTTTTTATTTTGTGAAATGATGGAGAATATAACCTCTTTGGGTCTTGAAGAGTTATTTATAGTAAAGATTTAGTATAGATGGTAAATCTTTATTTCACTCTCTTTGGTGGAACTGCCATTGTGATAAGGGGACCCTTTAGTAAGAGGTCACATGCCAAAAAGTTAACAAAAGTTATATTTTATAAGCCTTTGTGAAATCTTAATCTGAAAAGTAACCGGTAATAAAGTTGAGTAAAAACACAACATTGATATAAAGAAAATATGTTTCGGTCAAATGTAAGGACATAAAATGGAAATTCAACTAAAGTGCTAGTACCTCAAAAGTGTAACATACATATAGTATGTGAGTACATTTACTTAGTTACTTTCCACCACTGTAGATTGATTGCAGAGGAAACCAACATGAGAAGAGAAGGCTGAAGCCTCGTCGCCCCGCACAGCGCTGCTGGAGTACCGGGACGCTGACTGGAGGGACAACTGCCCAAGTTGTAAATCAGTGAATGTGTGTTTGTGCGAGTGTGTGTGTGTGCGTGTGTGTGTTTGTGTGTGGGTGGAAAGTGTGTGACTCTGCAAACATAGCAGAATAAGGATTTCTAACGCAACTTCACATACTTCTCAGGGTCCAAACTCCAGGAACACTAACCAGTCAACAACAACACTGCAGGTTTGAAAGCTGATCTGTGATCTGTGAACGCAACAGAGATCAACCCTCATCAGTGGTGGAAACTAAATGAGTAACTTTACTCGAGCACTGTTCTTAGTTTTACTTCTGATTCTATTTTTTGACACGTAACACTTCTGCTCCACTACATTTCAGAAGGAAATATTATACTTTTTACTACATTTATCAGCTGGAGAGTTACAGGTTTGTTTTATTGTCGGACAAAAAACACGTACGATGTATTGTTCTAGAACAAACCGTCACCTCTAAACTTCTCAGATCAAATTATCCAATATAATAAAACTAAAATTGCCATTCCCATTAATCATCTCATGACTCCTTCAGGTTTATTTTGTGACCCTTTGGAAGGTCTTAACCCTCCGTTTGGGAACCACTGGACTAAACTACCTTCATATTTAGTAGTTTGAACGAGCTCCACATCAACCAGCTGCAGCAGTAAAATAGTGCCTATATGCATTGTTCCATTAATGTTAACAATCCAATAATGTTATGTAATATATCAGTCACAGGGGACATTTTACTGCCAAATGAGTGCTTTTACGTTTGATAGTTCATTTAGATGATAACTTTCCCTTCCACTGCTGACCCTCATGATAGTGTGTGATCCCCTCTTTTCTAATGGTTATAAAACCGATCGTGGTTGTAAAGCATACTGCACATTCACAATATTAACACCACAAATGAGACGCCTGTGTACAATCATTTTGCTGCACCTGACTATTAACTGTAGCAGAGACTCATAATAAAGCTGGTTTTGATAGCCCTCTAGTGACCACAGAGGTGTACCTGCTAGCTGACATTTAGAACTATAATTTACTAAAGTGAGACAAACTGCAGTTTGGTTGTCCCTATAAAGCCAGCTAAGACATTTGATCTTAGAATTGGCTTGAAAGGAAACGCTTATACACTTGTGGCTATTGTTGATCTCCCTCATGATGATTGCTTTTTGCAAATTCCCACTCACGCTCTCACTCTCACCTGCATGTGTGTGTGTCTGCAGTGCCCAGGGGACCATATAAAACCAGACTAATACATTTTCCTGCTCTGCTTATGCTCATGCTCTCATATGAAACTAATTCAGCCCCCCCCCCCCCCAGTATCACCCACATGTTAGCTAGGGGGTCACATAAGGAGCAGGAATGGGGCAAATAAAAGAGGTGGTGAAGGGATGGAGGACAAGAGTCCCCACAACAGCCCGACTGCGTCATGCGAAAGCTTTCCAAGAAGGAATAAAAGATCATATTCAAACCACATGGGCATTTTTGGCATGACCGATGCATGGCAGCTAGGACATTCAACACAGCAGAATTTAATTAACAGTTCTGAAATGAATGGTGTCGTGCTCCAGTAAATCTGAAGTCTTTGTCTGGCTGTAATTACTGCCATACAGGTTTGAGGGCCACAACATAGTTCAAGCTCTAGCTAGGGAAATTAAGCAGCTCATGGCTCCGACTGCGAATCGGAAAACAATTCCAGATGAGTCCTCCTCTCTTCCCTCCTCTGAGTTTATCTAGTCAGCGAAAAGCATCTGTGAGTACCACACAAGTTGGCACTGAATCCAAATGATGTGGGATGAGAGGGATCTCCACCCACTTCCATCCTGTAAATAATGGCTGTGGCAGTCCTCAGTGGTGATTATCATCAAACCGTCTCAGCTCGCTCATGAATGGTGCCCAATGGGTCGCGATAAACATAATGAGATAATAGCTGCAGCCAGATTTACTCTGACAAGAGGATGGGATTGACGTCAAGAGTGTGAATAATTGGACAAACTGTCAGTAGACATCCCATAATGACAATGACAGACAATACTCAAATGAGTCATAAATCTGAAGGGCATTTTTAACACATGACTATGGAAATAACTTTATTGGAAGCTGGGAGAGGTGATAATTTAATCCATATGCTTCACAGTTAAGAAAAGCAGTGGCGCAGTGAACAATGCTCTTCTTCCGACTCACATCCTGTTTCATTAAAAGTAGTCATGTAAGACAAACAGTGGAACGAAAAGGAAAATTGGAAGTGCTTTGATAAACAAATATGATTACAATCAAAGCAAACACACAATGTTTCCCACTGCAGCATCTTTTCAAGAGATTCTCCCTTTTTGCTCTGCCTCAAACAAATCACATGCAGCGTGTTTCAAACAGTGCTTATAACACAATATGTGATCCTTTTTAATAGTTTTCTTCTAAATGAAGTACACCGTACCAGGATGCATTGGGCTAAAGGCAGGAGAGCACAGTGCCTCCATATGCACAAACATTTAGCATAACAGCAGTTTTACATGTACGTAAACATTTACATACTGTTATAGCATGAGAGCTCAAGGTTGTTAATTGATTAGATTATTCGAGGTTCAGTTCATTTAACTTATACAAGCTATCTGCTTAAAATATCACCCATCTTGAAATTGGCCAATTAAGTAGTTTGGAAGGACTTTAATTGGATCCGAGTGTGGCGCAGCGGTATCAGCAAATCTCATCGTAGTAATTATCTGTTTTTGCTAAAATTAAGTCCCCTAACTAATCACAACACGACTTTTACTATAAAGGACCGACATTTCCATCAGAATAAATGTAAAACTTTCTATTTGGCATTCAGGCAGTAATAGTGTAATTAGTCTGACAAAGCTCATCCAAACACGTCTACGCTGTCCACTTTTATCACATATCTCTAAACTCTCGTCACAACATTTAAGGGAAAAGTTCTGTTCATCTGTTCTTACTGTAATTATGCACATTTGAGTTGGCAAAGTGTGTCTTTTTTTCGTAAAAACAAAGACATTGAAAGAACGTTCCCTGACAATATATTAAATAATCAACTTGCATCATCAGAAACAGGTTACAAGCAAAGGCCTTCAAGAAATCTTTAAACAAAATACAAAAACAGCCACAGACAACTATATGGTTTGGATGAATATTCTTTTATTGCAGAGAGCAGTCAAGTCATCATTAGGTAAATGAGGAATGCAGCAAATAGCCTTCACACTCCAGACACCGTCAGTTTTAATATTTCCAACAAAAAACATTTCCCATCAACACAACTAAAAGTCTGTTGTGCTCCTAATAGCGCGGTAGCGTTGAGTGTCTGCTTTACACTGTACCAATGGAAGAGATGACTGCAAGCAGCTGCAGTGTGACGTATTACACAGTAACACAGCACTGTGCTGGAGAGTTCCCTCAGTGAATACATGAATGAGGTTCAACAGCAGCACACGATAATACAGCACTCAGGATTGCAGCGGGGGGCCGTCACACAGAGAGTGACGGTCAAACAGCAAAACTGTCAAATGCATCTAGTACACAACGGAAAATCTGATGAAAACATGGCATTGACGAACACAGAAGCGTCTGCAGCGTGTGTCTCGACAGCATTAAAAGATCAGACCTTGAAGTTGAGCCCCGTCTCAAAGGGTTAGTTACCGACGACACAGATGGGAGTGCGTAATGACGTTTGTAAAGATGGGCAGATGGAAGCAAAGATGACTTCTCTCTCGTTCTGTGTGGTGAAAGCAGAGTCAGATGAAAAGATCCACACGACTCATATCTGCATGGTAAATACAGAAGCACACTTTACTCACTAATTAACACGTTATATCTTGTTATTTTAATGTATATAAAATCACACTGAGGTTTTCTAGGCGGTCTGCACTGGACTATTTCTTGGCCAGGGCTTTCTGGAGTTTTAAAACCACGTGTCATTTTACGCTTTTTTTGTACAGCTTAAACAAATAAGATAATAAAATGGTAATTCGTGATCTTTAGCGGCCCTGGTAGGCGGGTTTTTCTGCCTTTGGACATCGATGAGCTAGCTGGTTCCTCCTGTTTCCAGTCTTTGTGCTGAGCTAAGCTTTTGTCCATAACTTCATATTTACCGGACGGATACAAGAGTGGCGTCCATCTTGTCATCCAACTCTCGGGAAGAATGGGGATCTCCCAAAATGTCCCAACTATTCCTGTCATTGATTGTTAAGCAGTCTCGGTTTGATCAAACCCACTGTACAACCGCCAACAGATAATATTGCTGAATGAGTGTACCTAAAATCCTGTAAATCTCCATGTCTCCATGAGCATCTAAGGATAATATCTGTAGTAGTTAAAACACTACGAGTTAAGTTTCCCCCCCTCACACCTAACATGTTTTGAAATTTCCAGCTGACTGTGTAGAACCACACCAAATAAAATATCTCTCTGATACAGTATTATCTAAATCAAAACCAAGTTCAGATAAATTAACTTCTAAGAGAGCCGTAATACTGGTAACCCCCCCCCCCGCACCCTTTAACCAAAGTTGTGACAAACTATGGTCGATAAAGAAGATTTAGAGTCAAGGTCCTAACTCTCCAGCTGCTCCGAGAGCCAAATGGCTGATCCAGTGAATGACATCATATCGACAGTGCATCCGATTTGTTCCATCATCCTTTCTTGAACTTTGGCATCTCAGCTGTAAAGCCACTTGTAAATAAAGAGATTGAAAACCAGTCGGTTGATTATTCCAGACTGAGGGAAGTTACTTTGTTCACTTGCTTCTGAGAGCTACATGCAAAAAAAGAAAAAAGAAACCAAACCAAACTGATTCCTAGAAGAAACACGAAAGAACAAGCTTCATGGATGAACAAGCAGAGCAGAGGCACAGCATGGAAACATGAATATGCTCTGAATATTATAGGGAGAGGGAAACAGGGCGAATTAGTTAGAATAGATCATGTCAATGTACAGAGACGGTAATGACATGAGGAGTGGAGATGCAAGAAAAAAAAAAAAAAAAAGTTTTTTTTTTTTTTTTTTTTTTAGGGATTTAGGGGGAAAAAAGGAATGAAAAATGCACGGGGATAAACGGGGAGGAGTCAGGGAAGAGGAACAACCTGCTCGTCTCTCCCTCCATTATCACTCGCACTCATTTTCACGAAGGACATTGTACATGTTGACAGTGAAACCAGACGGCTTATCTTCCTTCTGTCTTGGATGTCCTAAACTCTCGTCTTCATCATCTCCATCCTCATCATCGTCTGCGTCCCGGTCTCTCTCTTCCTCTGGTTCGGTGCTGGACTCTCCGTCGTCATCGTCGTCCCCCGCTCCGTCCTCCTCTGTCGCCCTCCCTTGCAGAGCCACGATCTCTGGCAAGTCTGGGTGATTTTCCCACTGCTCTGTAGACCAAAAAATAAATTAAAAATGAATTCCACCCACCTGCCGTTTTAACCTTTCAAATACACTTGATGAGAGAAATGATGAGTCCTGGAAGAGCCTCTTTTACCCCTCAAGCAGCTGTAACCAGGTGGTCTTAGGCAGAGGCACAATCTGCCATCGATTGCCAACCGCAGGAGACTGTTAGCTGCACGGTAAACGTCGTTGCGAGCTGCTTTTGCTGTCTTATAGCCTCTCCTCTCCGCCCATGCTAAAGAACGCAAAGACAGAAGGAAGAGAGACATGACAGGTGTTAGTGACAGTACAACACATCATGGTATTGGCCATAATTAAAACATACAAGTCTGGTGATTTTCTTTTTTCCTAAAGCCAACAAACCTCACGCATCCCTTGCTTGAAGTGGGGATTGGTTTTTTACTTGTGAAGTTAATCGATAATGGGCCATGACTTGAGGGTTATTTAGGGAGATTGTCTATTTGCCTCTCAGTATTTTAGCGTACTGAGGTAGTAGTGAAGCAGCTGAGTAGCTGTGCACATACTGTATGATTCTTAAAGCTACACATTAGACGGTGGGTGTCCCTGAGAATAGACTTACCATCACACACATCCCAGGCAGTCCAGACGAGCTCTCTGGACTCCTCGTTTCTCTGATGGGGTTTGATGTCCATTAAACTGGGATGTTTGAGTTTCAGCACAGAGAGGAAAGGGGTCCTCGCGCACAAATAACCAACTGAGCTGTAGGGCTCCTGCAGCTGAGACACTGGGTAGATGCCTGCCAGAATCTAAGAAAATGGCATAGACAGGTTAAAAAAACGTATTAGTTTCTATTGGGAATAAACAGGAAAGTAAACTCAAAGTATCTGCTCTCAAGTACACACAAGTGAGATTGTACCTGCAACTGTTTATTCACGAGGGAGGGAAACACCAGCCCAGGGCAGTCACAGAGTTTGACTGTCGGGGTGAGGTAGTAGGTCTGGAAGTATTTGGTGTGGCCGGGGGTTCGGGACACGCTCACTACCTTCCTCGCCACCAGGCTGTTTAGAACAGAAGACTTACCAACATTTGGAAAGCCTGCAGGAAAGAAGAATGGATGGGTTAATGTTCAGTCTTTAAGATCTACAAATGCAAGCCTGAAGTTGTCCAGGGGCACAGAGAGAAAGGCGCTTTATGAGTTGGTGCAATTATCTTCATAAAGTAAAAAAAAAAAAAAAGGAGGTAAGATCTTGAAAAAATATCACAGTTGAGACTTTGTTCGATTTCTTTTTGGAACAGTTTAAAGAACCTTTCTATGAATCTGGCTACAGGGTTCAGTCAGATGTATACCTATGCAGCCCAGTGTGAGAACCCCGTCTTTGTACAGCTCCTGGGAGGGGCTGCCCATGTCCATCGCTCTGTCACTCTGATGCTCCATCAGCACCGACTCGGCTCCTTCATCAGGCCGCTCCCCATCCAGTCGCTCAGCAACAGCATCTCTCTTAATTTTCTGCTCCCAGCTGGATAGGTCAACTTCAAAAACAAGAGGTACCACTTACAGGATCAGCACAGATGTGACAATGCAAAGAGTCAAATTCACAGAGTGGACAACAACAACTGAGGCATCGGAGTATTACGAGTAAGACAGATGCCCACCTCTCCCTGCTGTGATCTGCTGACAGGCTTTCAGGATATCTATAGGACCTCCAGCGTGACTCCAGTCAGCCTTCTTCCTCATCCTCCTCTTCTGGAGCACTACAAGCCAGCAGACAGACGGATGGTTATTCTAATCACAACGAGAGCCAGTCGGGTTATTCTGGTGATATTGCACTCAAATAAATTCACTGAGTAGCAGGTATTCAATTTCAGTGTCTGTCTGATGTTATCTTTTCCGTGTGTCACTCAGCCCTCTTCCCATCCCACCACTTTCTACCCTCCCCCTACTCCCCCTCTCCTCACCTGTGCTGTAGGGCTGTCCAGGGTGGGAGGTGAAGCAGACTATGTGCAGGTGGGGGAACTGGGAGGTCAGGTAGTGTTTCCAGGCGATCACCAGCGGAGGAGGACACAGGTCGGTTTTGTTCAACACCAGGATCACCTGCTTCTGGAGATCTCCTGTGATGTAGTGGTATAGGGTCGGAGGGAACTGCAGCACCTGGGTGGTTTAAATGAAGACGAACCCTTAATAAAATAGTAATTATGGCATAATCAACACATAAACCCCTAAATCACATACTTATTAATAGGAACAAGACGAGTTGTGCTGTTTTTAACTTCATGTTAATAGTGGAAACTCTTAAAAGACAAAGTGAATCCACTTCACATAAACTATATCTGGCTTGAAAGTTGGAATAAATATCTCAGGAGCTGATGCCTGATAGTTTAAAACAAATAACTGGGTTTAATTTGAACTTGGAATCAAATCTGATTACATCTAAATGCTTGGACCTAGTAATATTTCAGTATGTGTTTGAAGTACAAGTATCAGATGGGATCATTTTCTCCATTTTTATTTGCTTCCAAATTTGCCATGTTCAGTAATAACAACACAGTCTTTAAAGCTCTTCATCTTCTCAATATTACTTGTATTTTGTCTCGACACTTCCCAACATACAGCACCATACATGTGTCCTGTCAGTGTTAAAATAATGTCTGCTATAATGTGAACAGTTATTCTATTAGACCAAATTAGTAAACAAAGACATGATATATTTAAAAATGTGTGTGTCAGCTAAATAAACTGATAAATAATTTAAAAAACCATGTCAGAAATTTAGATGGATGTCGACAGTGTCTCCATCTAGTGGTCTGATCCTTCACCTACCGGGTGCCTCATGTCCACGATGAGCAGGATGATGTCGGACATCTCCAACACTCTCCAAAGCTGCCTCCACGTCTAAAAGAATAAATGAGAAAATGAGTGGGAAATAAGACTAGGTTTAATATTGTAAACAAAAGAAAGTAAAGTCTATGAATTCACAATCCCTGTTCTTATTCAGCATGACACATTATTAGGAAAGAATGGTCGATTAGGATTTTAAAACTACTCTGAAAAAGGACCAGTTTGTCGGATTTAGTGAATAAACTGAATACCCCTCTGCTAAACTCTCTCTGTTTAAGTGTGTAGAGTACCTACGGCGGACTTCATGTAACATTAAAAACTTAGTGAAAGGCTCTCTCTAGAGCCAGTGTTATGATAGGGCTTCTGTAGAAATGTGGAGGTAAAATACAGCGGACTCCGTGGAAGAGGATCCGCTCCCTTATGTAGAGAAGAAGGGCTCATTCCAAGCTAACGAAAACACAAAACAACTCTCAGTTTCAGTCGATTTTATGCAAATGAAAACATAGTTGTGATTGTCATTTTCCAATTATCCAATAAATCCCCTTAAATCCTACACACTGGTCCTTTCAGATAATATTCCTCATTCTGTTGAATTCAACGTTTTAATACTGTAGAATATCCACTCAAACAGGCATCACTTTGATCCTCCACGTAAAAGGCCATCATCTCTAGATTACCGGGAGTCACTTATTAAACCACCAGCAGCTCAAGCCTGGCTTCTGCCTCCTGAGCTCCACCCACGCTTTGAAATGAAATTATGTGCAGGGTCTTTTGATTTTGTTACCATTTTCACAACCTGAGCAATATCACAGCGTGTAAGGTACGATGGTACATTGTCCCTAGCGGAAAATACCAGACGACACACACGGGCATGTAATTCAATTCTTACAGATCGCCACATGATCCAAATTTACCACAGTGAAATTCAGTCCATGGTACGTCCTGGAATGATATGCCGGATAACAGCCTCAACGGTTTTGTGTTTATGACGAGCGGCAAAGCAAGTGTGCTGGATAATCATCGGTTTACAGGCCACTCATAAACAAGCAGGATCACCTCATGCTGTTTTCTGTTGTCAAAGGGTTTAATGGGATTCATAAATATTCAGTCTACACAGGAAAGGTGCTGGCAGTCTGAGCTTTTAAAACCCCCGTATAATACAAATGGTTCCATGGCTGCTTGCTAACCCTACCACTCTCAGCTGAGGAAAACAATTACTACTGAGGGCAAAGAGGGTCAAAAGCACGTCAATACACTAGAAAACGTTAATATGCATTCATCATGCACCATATCTCTTTACCTCCAGATTGTGCTCAAAGTGGCTGAGAGAGCCAGCTGGGTTTTTGGCGTGCATGTCGTCCAGGTAGTCTCTGTATGACTTCTCCTCTTTCCGAAGCAGGTTCTCTCGTGTCATCTCATAACTCCAGGACGGCCGATGTGGGAAACCAAGACCTGGCGGTGAATAATTGAATTAAACTTGTCTAGCAGTGACCCACTCCATTAACCTACTCTGCTCATCTGTGTCGGCTTATTTTGAGACCGTCATGTGGAAAGCATTAAAAAAACAAACAGGCAGACCTTTCTCTGAGGGGTAGATGTCATTGATGTTGATCTCAAGCTCTTTTTCCGAGATTGGCTGCAGCACCTTCTCCATGGCCAACTTCTTCCCCTTTTCCACATCCTCTTTACTCTCTCTCTCAAAATGCAGTCGAAACCTGGAAAGGGGGGGGGTCAATAAGGCTAGCCTAGCATTGCGTTGCTATATCTACAGATTGATGATTTAAATTATTTACATAATGATATAAGTTCTCTAGAGTTGCCTTCACATTACACACTGAAGAAACAAATGTCTCCATCAAAGTACGATGAGAACATTGACAAGTGCGATGTTTTCTACTGTCAAATTAGAGCACAAAAGAAAGCCATTTCTAAACAAATAAAAACACAAATACAGTGAATTTTTCTCTTCTTATCCTCTGACATATTGCTCCAATTAATTATCATAGAATAGCCACTTTATTATTGATTCAAGCATCCTACTGCTGCTCCAGGAAATGCCTTTTAGACACCTAAAGCACAATGTGCATTTATCTCATCTTACATTATTTAATGAAAGTGAATCAAAGAGAGTATTAGTAATGATGATGATAACAACAACTCACCTGTTGGGGTCATATCTACCTTCTCTGGCGGAGGGCTGCTGATTTATTCTCCTAACATCGGTGGTCTCACTGTCTGAGGTGTCCGACTGTCTCCCTGCTCCTCGCTCCACACTGGCATTGCGGCTGCTCGGCCCTGAACCCGGTTCACCTAGAAATCGGGGAGCAAAGATCAGGGATCACAGACCTACTTTTCCCACATATAGTTGTCCGTTACAGATCACGACATGCTTACATCGTACATGAACTGCAACAATGTTTTCATCATAGAAAATAACAAAGAAATGAATTTTTCTGGCATTTTACTGCCCTGATCACTGGCTCTACAATGGCCTCCTGCACTGAGGAAGATATTTTAGGTTGTTTGACCTACTTATGCACAGTGTGGAATGACTTCATACTTAGTTATTTTAAATTTAAAAAGGTCCAAATCTTAAGTGATTGCATGTCTAAAACTGAGTGTTAACACTAAAAGACTGGCCTTGATTTACAAGTCATGGAGTAACTGAACTGAGAAAGACCTCTTGACCTTTTCAAAGCGCCAGTATGATATAATCGCTCCGCAATTCGCCCGCGTTGACAGTCACACAAACACGTGTTTTGGGAATAAAACGACGTCCTGTGCTTGAAAATCTTTGAGCCAACGTGTGATGACAATTGCTCTCTTAGTGACAGCACCTCACCCAACGGGCTCTTCTAATGTGGGACTGAACCTGTACAGTTAAAGGCTAAATGAAAACAAATGATTATGCGTTGACGCTTCTCTAACAAAAAGCGAAAGCATGTGCTATTCTGTTGTACTACCGTAACGTTACACTCAAATCCGAAGGGCAAGTTATGTCACATCGCGTGTTATTACAGCTAATGTTAGCTAACAGAACACACGGGGGGTCATTTCACAGGCTAAGTGAGTGGTGTGATGCTCTACTTGTACATCTTGCTGAACCCATGACAGACACTGAACTACATTTAGCTGTGGAGCAAGAACCGTTAGCTGTGTTACAACTAGCATGATGCTAACGGCAGATGCGGTTACCTCTCTTTCTATCCCGTTTGACTTGTAGTTGTTTCTTCTTCTGCTTGTTGCTAAATGGCTTTTTCCGGGGCATAGTTAGTGAGCTGGTTAATATATCTATGTACTGCTGTACGTATTGCTATCCGCAGCTTGTCACACAGCTTTTCTTCTTGACGTTGTTTACATGGGTGAAGTTTCTCGACTCCTACACTTTTTCAGTGACGCCATATCCACTGCAGACCGCAGAGAATGGTGGACGAGACCAAGTTTCAGTGTTTGCACACTGCCCCAGTTTTCCTCATTTTGACTTTATTTAGATGATCTTATTTAGAATTCACTTTTACCTCGAGTAAACCGCGTTACTCAGAGTGTAACTATGTACATGTACCAAAAACATGTTGCCTAAACTGATATGAAACCCCCTCCTCTTTAATGGACCAGTCCACTTTTGTAAACACCTCACACATTTGCACATTCCAGAAGAGCAGACGTGCTTAAAACAATAAATATACCTGGATGCACAAGAGCGTCATTGACTAACCCTAGTATGCTTAATACAAGCAGCATAGTGTTTGCCTCTCTGTTTTTCAGATGTTATATATCTCAAATGTCCTGTTAATACATATATATATATATATATATATATAGTTTCTCAACAAACAAAAATGCATTTTCATGTAATGAATGCAGAGCTGAAACAATGTGTCGCTTAATTATTTAGAAAATTACAACGAATTTGATTATTTGTTTATTTCTCGAAACCAACATTGCAAAAATTTAATTTGTACACTTTAAAATGTGGATATTTGATATTGAATATTTGGGGTTGGCCTCCATTCTAAAAGGTCAACTTGGGCTTTAGAAAAATTGTTATGGTCATTTTATTTTCTAATATTTTATAGACCAAACTCAGAAAACGAATTACAATATATTAGCAACAGCAATGTCCCCTCATAAAGTCACTATGACTGAAACAGAAAAAAACCACCAATGAGAAACATATCAGAGGGTTTATTGTATTATAAGCTGAAAAAAAGACAAATTTCAGATGTGTCAATATGTCTGTAAAGAAGTATTATAAACATTGTTATCATGGAAGTATATCAAGAGCACATTTGGATAACTTTTCTTTTAGGACATACACACAAAGCAGTACAATAGGAATACATGAAACATGAACTGGCTCATCATTCGTCATGTGAAGGCCAGTGAATGGGTCTAAATAGGTTATATGGATTACCACATCCTTTAAAACACACAATCATACATTATAAACTGGTAGTATATACAGTATATCTATATATATATATATATATATATATATATACTTGATTGACATTTGTTTTTCCTCAACAGGAAATTACCTCTTTGTCCCTTTTAAGGTTAAAAAGAATGAATCGCGGGCATATATTTTACAACACAGTAGAGCTGATAACACTGATGTAAAAACTGAAAGTCTCTGCATGAAAGTATGAAAATTTACCTTCACAGTTGACCATCAATGTCATCAACAGAGAGACCCTAAACTGCTATGGCCAACGCTATACTTGTTGGGAAGAGCAGGTGATAAAACAATAAAGAGAAGCACTTTGACTCTCTTCCTATCATAAAACCATCACTGTGATGGACTGAAACATACTTTATTGCCGCCTATACATGCACTTTCTACTCAGACAGGACAGCTTAGTAAAAAAGAAAACAAATCAAACAAGGCAGAAAGAAAAAAAGTAAAATAAGACAAACTTATAGTCTTCAGTATAATGTGTCACCATATTGTTTGTCCTGTCTGCCTCAAACCACAGTTCAGGCACAGTCATGTGTTCCTAAGTTCTTGTATCACCTTAGTATTGCTTTTATTCTTTGACTCTCCATCCTCAATTTCTTGAATCAATTTGACCTCCCCCCCCCCCCAACTTCCTCCTTTCGTCACCTCTAAGAGTTAAGGTGCTCCACTTGAATGGTGGATGCTGACACAGTGAGACAGAGGTCCTTGTGGGAAGTAATGTCGGCAACGCTGACGGGTTTGTACTGGATGTCACTGGCGGACACTGTCTTATACTGGTGCAGGTCAAACGGACAGGAGATGGTTTCTGTCTGCGGGTAGTTGCCCTGGCTCTGTCCCTGCTGGCCTCCGCCCGCTCCTCCGCTCCCGGCACCCCCGGGTCGGCTCGATCCTCCATCTGCGCCGTCTAGCCGGCTCTGACCCGGGACCTGGCGTTGGTTCTGTTGTGCTGCTGTTGCAGACAGCTGGTCTGGGTTGTGTTTCTCCATGTGTTTCACCAGATACGTCTCCTGAGATGAGGGGAGGATAGGTAAGAGGGGAAACAGTGGATGCGTGACTACATTACATAAAAATAGCTGCCAGGTGTCTGATGCAAGTGAGGCGATTCATACAGAAGAGGATGTTTGTCTTACTGAGGTATAAGTGCGGTTGCAGAGACCACACGAGTAGATCCTCGCATGCTTGACTGTGTGTGTGGTCATGTGCACCTCCAGGCTCGCTGCATCTACGTATCCTTTATTACAGTTGGTGCACTTGTAGGGCTTATCCTTGTTGTGTTGACGCCGGTGGGACTGGAAAAGAAATGTTTATTTTAATAAAATAATAATAATAATAATCTGCTATAAATGTTTTACATAGTGAAAGAGTCAGGTAATAAGCAACACATTGTCTGTATGAGAAGAAAGATAAATTATTTCACACCTGTAAATTTGAGAGTTGCGTGAAGGACTTCTCACAGCCTGGGTGGATACACTTGTATGGCCGATCTCCGGTGTGAATCCTGAATGAAAAACACAAAAACACATTCATATACATACACGGACTCCCATCACTTTTATGGTGCTCTAACCTGACTGCAGGAAAACATTGAGGCAGATGAGAAACCCAAGACCGGTGACTCACTTACCTATTGTGCTGCTGAAGATGACTGAGCTGTCTGAAGTGCTTTTGGCAGTAGGAGCAGGTGTAGGGTTTCACTCCGGTGTGGATGCGGACATGTTGGGCCAGGTAGCTGGAGTTGGCAAATGACTTGGTACAATGGGGACACTTATGAGGCTTTGACTCTGTGTGGTTCCTGATGAAGGCAGACGGGAGGGTGGAAGAGAAAAGGGGAACAGGATTGTAAAGGTAGATTGAGAAGAAAAACACATACATAAATGTGATTCCCTCAATATATCAAAACCTGTCAGGAAGGCCATTCCAGACAAGTAAAAAGGAGATTGGATTGTAAAAATATTTGGAAACACTTAACGTAACACTTGAGTGTCAATTGCAATTTATGTTCCTTTAAATGTCACGTGTTAATATAAACATCACAAATCTCATCACAGAATAAAAAAAGCTAAATAGTGAATTATTTTGTCCTTTTTACATACATCCTTTTGCCCTGGATCATTTAGATTTATAAACAGAGGAACAAAATATTATATATAATAATTATGATTCAAAGGTTTTACAAATACATCCATTTAGATTGGCATTCCTCCAGAAATGACATGTAAATTGATTTGATGACAGCCAAAAAGAACAGCAACAGATGACTAAAAATTACACAGAGAGAAGGAAAGCAGAGCATGGCAGCAAGGTGTTTCTATCGCACGTCCCAATTCAATGGAAGATAATGTATCCCAAACAATAACACAATGGGTTAAATGGAAGCCTTTAAAGCTTCATTTCAACATGTCGTTCTAAATGTGTGCGTGTTTCTGTTGGAGAAGCACTGGCAGGGGAAATGACACAACATGCAGACAAAAGAAACATGAAAAGTGGGGAAAAGCGATGAAAATGCAATGCAAAGAAGTACGGTGCACACACACACAAATGAAAAAAATATTATAATTATATCAATTTTGTATTAAAGAGCTCCATGCATTTCAAATGGCCATTCTGATATTGTATAAATTATGGAAAATCTTCTTATGGACAAAGCCCAAACTTAAAGCGTAATTTGAATTCAAAACATTTTGAAAAAGGTCACTTCTGGATGGAACTGGTAGCATGCGACCCAACATCTACATGGCAGTGTATTATGCGTTTGCACACCACTCCAACCTCTTCCCCCTCCAGGAGGAGGAAGAGGACAGGAGTCTGGGCTTCAAAATGGGAACTTGGCAGGACAAGTTAAGAGGACAGGGGGGATATGTTACGTGGTCGGTAACCGGGAGGAGGGGTCTGCAGTACCGTGTGTGCTGCTGTAAATGACTGAGCTGCCTGAAAGATTTCTGGCAGTAGGAGCAGGTGTAAGGCTTGGCCCCGCTGTGGATGCGGATGTGCTGGGCCAGGTAGCTGGAGTTGGCGAATGACTTGGCGCAGTGAGGACACTTGTGAGGTTTGGCCTCTGTGTGCGACTTGGAGTGGATCTGCATGTCAGACTTACTGAGGAAGGTCGCCGCACACATCCGGCACCTACAGGCGGAGAGACACAGAAATGGGAGGGCGGGATGGAAGAACAAGAAGGAAGAAGAGGGACACATATACAGAAACATGGACACAAGAGAGGACGGAGGGAAATAAGGAGATGAAGGTGGAGACAGGGGAATGAAGCATTGACCCACAGAAATAAATAAGATTTGATAGAAAATGAAACTCACGATAAAAAGGAAAATGAATTATACCAGGTAAATGAATGAAGGCAGAAAGGGGGTGGGGGGAGGGGTAAACACAAGGAAAGATTCCAAGGGAGAAATCAGTGAAAGCTGACAGGGAAAGGTACATAGATACTATAAAAAAAAAGCGAAAGAGCAGGACACAAGAGTGCTTGAGGGTTTACAACTCAAAGAGCATGCCATATAAAGACAAAGAGGACAGCAGAGGGCAGGTAGTCCAGTGTGTGCAGAGGTGGAGAGAGCGCCTACGAAGCACTGATGCATTTGTATCTCAAATACATTAACGAGAAGGAATCAACCCTTGACTACAAAAGCAGGCACGTTCTGCCACAACATGCAGTGAAGTGTGTTCAGAAGAGGCGTATGTGTGTGTGTGTGTGTGCAGCAGCGCCTATAAGTTATCTATGAAAGCTGAACATCTCTATTTTGATTTGGACAGGACACAGAGGAACAGGTGCGTTTGCATTCCACAGCTAGAACGGGGAGAAGTAGGGAGGCACAGCAGGTGTGTGTTTTCGTACGCCCTACCTGTATGTCTTAGTGCTGTCTTTTGGGCCGTGGTCTTCGTCTTCATTCGACAGGTCATATGGGTCTCCAATATGATGCTGCAAAGAGGCCAACTGTCAAAAACAAAATTCAACATTATTTGATCGGGTTTCATAATCTATTTTATTAGATTGCCCTTTTTCTACATCTGTATTTTCTTACCTGGCCACCGGATGTGAGATGAGCCAGTATTAGCGTTTCATTTCCACCCACATGACCGACCCTGGTCAGTGCGGTCTTCTTCTTTCGGCCTCGTTTGGAGGGCGCTGGCATCACGACCACATGGGGCCCCCCGTCGCCTTCTTTTCTGTCTACAACAGGATCACCAGCAGCCGGTTAATAGAACAGAATCCTCTGGAGCCCTCCTGTATGGTAACTGTTCTCTACACCAAACCAAAAATCTGTATACTGCAAAAAGCCTCATGTTTTTAACTGTGCTTATTCTTTCAGGTGTAATTGACAGTGTGTGTGGGGACATCGTAGTGAAATTATTTCTTCTATTCAACTATTTGAAATGTTCATAAAGCCGCGAGTATTGATTCCTACTAAAAGTTTTAAAGTCCCAGTGAAACTAAAGTTAGAGCGTCTTTAGCTGCTACACTGTGACGTAGAAACAGCGAAACAGAATATTTAAGCGTCGTGCGGTTACGAGAGGTATTCAAATAAAATCCTGTGAGTAAAGCTTAGAATGTGGCGCAATACACAAACCTCCTTTGTCGCTTACAGTTGCAGATTGATTGATAGTAATGTCATGATGTTATAGGTTGGTACGTAAGCACACTTCATATTTTGTTTTACAGGAAGAATGATGAGTTTTGTGTAATTGTTTTGCACATATTGATAAATAGGTTCACAATATGACCGGGATGAGATCTAACAGGGTTAAAAAGGCATTTTTCATTTAATCTCAACTTTAAATAAATAAAAAAGCACATATATACAAATACTTTAGAAGCAAGCTGTTACAGCACCTCCTGCATGTGGAAGATATTTTTAGGTAAGAAATGAAATCATTAGCTGCTCATTTTCTGGTTTTATTGCTTTGTAACTCCGGAGGTCAGTCTTTGCTTTGAAGAGAAGTGCTCAGTTGGGTTTCATAACTCTGACGTATCATTAAGAGCAAACCGAACAAAATCTCATATTCTTTTCGCTCTCATAGCATAGCATAGCATAGCATAGTCAGTGAGGACGCTCACAAAAGCCAACAGGTCTGATCATGTTCCAAATCACTAAGACAACATTACAAAATGTGTGTTCTTTTAGCCTCAAAATGTTAGTCCAACATCAGTGTTGTGTTACAAATACATGTACAAACACCAGCAAGCATTGACATTTGTGAAAATGCTGGTTTCATTCAGGACCTGGTCTTTAGTGTTGCTACAGTACACTATCGGCAGTTTACATTCTTCTATGTCGTTGTGGCTGCAGATGCACCCAAGAAACATTCGATCATGTCATCTTACTTCATATTCAAACTACACATTGTGTCTACAGAAAATGTTATGTCGGCATTACATTTTGGATCCATAAACGAGATGTACATCACATGATGTGCGTGTCATTACGGGTGCTTTACCTGCAGAATGGAGTGCTGAAACAATCATGGTTGTTGCTGGATGACCAGAGACAAACGATTGAGAGCAGGTGGGAGAGACAAGTGTTCCCTGAGGAGTTGTGATGACCAGACCCGCTTCACAGAAAGTGACAGGAAAAAAGAAAGAATTAGTCACTCGTCACAAAAGGTGAGTACAGGCAGTACGAAATCCAAGAATACAAAGTTGTGGACGGTGTTCTTCCCAGGATTACAGCCGATCCTTGAAATTCAGGAATTTAATTCCCTTGTATTCAGAAGTATTACCAACCAATATACCATATGCTAAACCTGGAAGTGTTCAGATGGTGCTACAGGAGTGTGACAGCACAGCGCTGCTGATGCATTATGTGAAGGAAATGCCCGAGGTTGTAGCGTAAATGGAGACACGCAGGTGTTCGTTTACTCAAAGCTGTGCTCTTAGCCCACAGTGCTGCTTGGAGGGAACTGGAATCTGTTGTTGTTGTTGTTGCTCTCATTAACTAAATAATGAAATACAAAGCTATTATTTTATAGTTTCTAACAAAACTTAATCCAGCCTAAACCTTTGGTGTTCTTCTGATTCTATGCTGTACTTTGAGCATTAGATAGTACGTCTTGTATCGTGGAAATGAACATAATTAGTCTCAAACGGGGAAAGATTGAGAGAGACAGACTCACCTGCTGTCATGATGCCCGTGGACGGGACGGACAGCATGTTCTGGGTGCTGTGAGCAGGGTGGAGGTGTGCCACGCCGCCAACCTGCCCTCCTCCATCTGCCTTCGTCCCAGGGATGGTGAGGAGAGCTGTCTGGTAGTGGGATGCTTGGGAAGAGAAGGAAGCATTCTTTTCCTGTTGCTCTTTCACCTTGTTCAGGAACATGGCATTCTCAATCTGTAAGTAGAGAGGAGATTCGTCATTTGATTCACCAGACTGGGCTTCGTCAATCCTCTTCTTGTAGTCACAAAGACACTCCTCAAAAAAGGAGCTTCTTCTTCACGTCAATCCTGAAGAAACTCCATATTGTTGATTTCTTGTCCAGACTCACCTGTCCTGGTACAGTCGGGATGGGAGACCAGAAATACGATGAATTAAAATGAGAGTCTTCCATCATTTCTGCAACGACACAAGTGCAGCAACGATCAAATACTGTAATGACCTGGTAAGTACCACCGCTGGTTTCTTTGCTGTAAGAAATATGACAATCTGACTTTCATAAGGACCAATGTGTCTGAAATAATGTTGAGTTGAATTGGTACTCGGGGCAAAAATGAGCTCCTACGCCTCAATTAATCCCCCATGAAACCTTTGCTGTGTGGTAATTTTACGACACATAATATAATTTAGGAATATACATCTTGTAGGCAAAATATCAATATCATGTCTATACTATTTAAGACCAGTAAAAATCTGTTTAAGAGCCCCCCTTTAGTTTCCACCTCTCTTCAAGGCACAGTGTCATTATCAGGTAATGAGGCCATTGCATACTGACAATTACTTCTGCTTCAGTTTCCTGTTTGTAATATGGTGCAGGCTGGCTCACTGTTTCCCCTGCTATGACAAGTCAAATATCTTACCACACAAACTAACTGCCACACAGTGAAGCTGGGGGGTTTTTTAGGGGCCCCTGTAGGTGTGGGGCTCTTGTTGCAGTAGCTCACTTTGCTCGGTTGGTCCTGCAGCCTCGGGTCGAGTCCTGTAGGATCCTAATGGCAAAGTTCTAATTCACAAAAGAGAAAAACAAAAGGAGACTGAGATCAATACAGTCTCAAATGCATACGTTTACATGACAGATTGCGCTCCTGGAACGTTAACTACATCGACGGTCTAACGTGAATGTTGAACTTCCTTTACTTCAACTGTAAGGTGTGGATTGTTATGTGCACCAAAACACAACAACTGACCTCAGGCTATTTACGGAAGATTCAACTTCTCCGCTAGAAGTTGGCTCAACAGACCCACATCCCGCTTAATGAACTACAAAACCCCGCACCTAGCGCTAACTTTAATGAAATAACACAAATCAGATAGTGTTTACTATTAGCCGCAGCGCTACAGTAGGACTCCATTTCGGCTGCTCGCATCTTGTAGTTAATCAGGCCCGACGTGCTGATTAACATACAGTGAGCTAGCAGACAGCAGTGTGTCTGTAGAGCTCTCCTGCAGCTGCTTGGGGGGAAAAATAACAAGCAAAGCAAAAAAAAAAAAAAAAAAAAAAAAAAAAAAAAAAAAAAAAAAAAAAAAAAGGAAAAAAAAAAAAAAAAAAAGAAAAGAAAAGCCAACCGACCATTCACAGACTTCCGGCTGTGGACGGGCGGAGAGGCGGCAGCAGAGTCATGCAAATCTACCAAAAAACACGAGCGACTGCACGGAGAACACTGGCGTTTACCGGCAACGACGACTCCGTCTTCCTCCCCGGAACTCCCCGTAGCTCGGGAACAATTTGGACACGGTTTCTAAATGTGTCCAAATCCCTGTGACCCAGTCAAGTTTTTTTTTATCGCCTCTTCAGGGTGTTTTTTTTTTTTTTTTTTTTTTTTTTCTGTCGGTTTTTTTTCCCTCCGGTAAAGCAGCTGCCTCGTCTACAGCTTCACTTCCTCCGGATAAAGTCGTCAGACAAAAGGAGTATCTGTGGTTACGTCACTTCCGGTATCGTTCACTGAGTGGCAGTTAATGTAAATAAAAGTATCTAAAAATGTATCATCTACTACTAGTTGATTGACATCCTTACTGCAGCAGTGAAATGGTGATCGTACATGGATTTCAACCCACATCCGTTTGTGGTTGATTGTGTTTACTTTATTTTATTTTAGCTTCAAGTTCTGAGGGGGAAGCAGACAGCTATGCTGCGTTCACGTGCTGTCGGAAGTAATAGAGTGGCATAAGTGTCAGGGTCATAAGAAACTTTTTATTGCCTACATTTTTAAATATCTAAATATTCCTATTAACAAATTGCACGGCTAAACCACCTTCCCCTCAGTTAAGTAAATTCAACTTCTATTAATTTCTTTTGAGTTTATAATGTGTGCTCTGAAATGACTAATTCAATCAAATGCATAATTATCAACCTTAATTCTATAAATCCTTGTACTCCTCACACTATTACTGGGTTACCTGGGGGAGCTGACAGGCCCGTGGTCAAAGGAATGATTTTTACATTTTATGCCCTGAAGGTCTGGGGCCCCCGGGGCCCATCCAGCCTTGAGTCTGAGGGATCAGGGAGCACTAAGACGGAGCCAGTGAGACATTTTCAACCATTATGGCTTGTGATACTTTACAGCATTGATACGTGTGACTGAAGCTGCAACGGTTAGTCAATCAATTGATTGACAAAACATGAATTAACAGTAATGGATTAAATCATTTATAATTTAAACACTTTTTCACACATAAATCCAGCTTCTCAAATGCAACCATTTGTTGATTTTCCTCTATATTGGAGTAAATGGAATATCGCTCCAAAATCTCCAAATCTGCACCATAAAGTAGTATCATATAATGTAATACATTCAACTACATTCTACTGCATTCACTTTTGCACAGATTTGATTTTTAGAGGATGCCTTCTTGACAATCAATTGTAAAAATAGCCAATATAAGCTGAATCACATTTTTCTAATGAATTGAATTGTATGTGTACACTTGGTGATGTTTAGTCGTCAAACATATGTACATTTGTTTTTATATATTAAAACATTGAAGTATGAATGGCTTTCCTAGGACATGTTTTCTCCTCATCTCCTGCTTAATCTCCAAAATAAAACAAACGTTATTCCTTTGTATGTTTTCTTTCTTTTCTTCATTTTTAATGTTATTTACGAGGTGGAGTCTCGAAAATATGGGCTGATAGATTAGCACTTGAAGGCAGCACAGTGTTACTTCCTCCAGTTGACACACAGAGTGACTTTTAGTCAGTTAGACTTTTGTTTTGAACTCCACGCAACATATAAAAACTCACGTCTGCTTTAAGGGAGATCACGACAACGTTAAATGTACTTTATTGTTATATTTATGTGTTACCGTTTTTCAACGCAGTACTTCATCTGTCCACACAGTGTCGCTGTAAGGGTAAGGACAGTGAAACACGCCGTCTGTATCATCAACATCCGGGGACACGTCTCCTCAAACACACACTGCCGAGCCGTCTGATGCATCTTTATTTATTTAAACCTATCCAGACTTTGCTTTAAAGGCCAATGTTGCGTCTTTGACACTTTCTGACAACCCTGTGAGTCAGCCAGGCAGTTTAAAGTTAACTCGCAGCGCTTCGCCCCGAGCTCCAGATGGGGGAGGTGAGGAAGCTGCAGAAGAAGTTGAGACAGATTGGAAATCTGGAAATAAAAATCAGTCAAACCCCAGAGGAGCGATTCAAGGTACAGAAACGCCTCATCTGCCTGTTTGTCCCAATGCTAACTGTATGTGTGTGTAATCTGTGTGACTTCTGTAAATCCTTAAAATATTTCCCTCATGTGTAACAACAGGTTATGACTGCGGGTTTTTACTGCAGCTCAGGCACACATTCAGTCAAAAATATGAAATATAAACATTATCCATCTTCACTAGCTGACACAGGTTGAATAACATCCAGCAGAGTAGAGCTGTGTATTCATACACCATTAAAGTATTGCAGTATATCAGAGCTCACACGGTTAAATCAAGATGATGTTTTAATGGTGATTTGTGAGGCAACAACGTTATGAAGTAAGGTATCTTAAACTAGGAATAACATCATAAAGAAGAAAAATATGTGGTTAACATGAATTTATGGCGGTGGAATGAATAATTTGACAGCTTTCGCCCCAGGAAAGCTCTCACGATGAGCAGAGTGCATCAGAAAAAAATAAATATCTGGAACTTCAGGGGCCTCAGTAATTTTATAAATTATTGTCATGCCCTACAACTGTTTTTTCTTCTTATTTTACTGCACTGCCGTTGCATCCACTAATTGGAAAAAGGAAAATAAATGAGCACACTACAGCTGAAGACAAACACTTGACAACTCAAATAGATTCCCCAAAAAGTAGTAGTGCACTTTATTTCGTCTAAGTAACAGACATAAATCGTTCATGTATTTAGACTTACCACATATAAAGTAGTGCAAAGTACATAGACTGACTAGTACTGTCCTTAAGTTCAATTGTGCAGTATTGTACTAAACTTGATTATTTTAATTGTATGCTACTTCATATAACATTTTAGAGGAAAATATTTTTTACTTTTTACGATCACTACATTTATCCAACAGATATGATATGAGTTTATAAAATATGTTGTGACAGACAAAACTACCCAACAGTGGAGAAAATAGTTTATATAATAAGCTCAAACCAGAACACTCACAAAATTGACACAATGCTTACATTGTTAGGCATTGATAAAGGTAATTAAATAATATACCACCAGGGGTTATACTGCTTCCTAAAGAGTACTTTTTCTTTCTTACTTTTACTTCAGTATTTTTTAAATCCAGGACTTCTACTATCAAATTAGGATTTTTATAAAATCATTTCAAACTCTGTGCCCCTGGTTTCTGTAAAAACAAAATAACAATCCCTCTCTAAGCCCAGATAAGATCACTACAAAACCTGTATGTGTAAAACTGGTGAAGTGCTCCTTTAACGCAGAAAACAGTCAAGTATTTCAAATTGGCGTGCCTGGTTCACTCATTCATGCATATTTCATAACTCACACAGACAGGAGTACAGTTGCCAGTTGCAGTCTAATAAATCAAGACAGGCTGAGTATGTTGGTTGTGCATATAAACAACTTGTGCATTAATGGCTTGGTTTACAACCAATCTCGTGGCTTCTTCCCTCTCAGATCTCCAGGAAGGCGGAGCTGCGTTCCAGATTGGCTGAGCTTCAGCTGCAGCTTTCTGGCCCGCAGCAAACTCTTGGGATTGTAGGAGACGGAAAAAAGGAGAAGATGAAAAGACAAGTGTAAGGAAGTGAGGGAGAGGTACCAGCAAGAGGGGGCAGATGGAGAGAAACAGTATTCTTCAAAAGCAACAACATTCACTTTGAAGCCTTTGATCTTTTTTTTTGCATTTCTATCCAAACACACTGGAGGTCAAATACTGTCACGCTTTAATAAAATGGGAATTTTCCACTATGCACAATGTGTCACGTAAACATGATTCAGGGATGTCATTCACCCCATTAAAGCCCCTCAGGGCTTTGTGTATGTAACACTTTCTAGGACTAGGCGCTCATTAAAAAGTACACGTTTTGTTTGTGTGGGACTCGGAGATGCTCTACAGGTATCCACGTCACAAAGCAAACCATGTGCCTATATGCATCTTGATTATTCATTCAACTCTCGCTTTTCTGCACTGGCACAGGGAGGATGCCCCCGAGGCCCTTCCATCACAAACGCCTCCAGCCTCCAAGATCCTGAAGGGAGAAGAGCAGTCCAAAGCTCAGGCAACGCCAGCGCCGGCTGCCAGGCAGAAGGAAGCAGGAAGGGGAGCAGAGATAGGCAGGCAGCAGGAAAGGACAGAGCCGGCCAAGGTGTCAGATCACTGCCGAGACGTGTCAGGAGGCGGCTCTGACACGGACCAACTGCAGCGGGAAGGTTGGATTAATTAAGAAAATTATTATCACAGTTTATCGCAGGCAGTTAAAAGCACAATGCAGTGCCGTGACCCGTCATTGACATCTAAAATCAGATGAGACGTGGGCCTTGAGGAGTCCTAACGAGCTCATGTGGCTGCCAGAATTACAGCCAATAGGCTGCATTTGCTCTCCTGAAGACAGGACCCCACGTTTCGCGTCCTCTGAGCTAAATTAGCCCCATGCTTCGTTGTGGCAGACTAATCCATATTGAAGAACTGTGTAGATTAACAAGCTGGGGCGCTGATGAGTCAACCGTGCTAATTGGACAAATGATTTCCTTTGCAGAAGCTGCATTTGCATCCCTCAAATCGTCTTGGGAGAAGGCGAAGTTTCGCTTGAGGCGGCTGGAGGGTCACAATGACATAGTCACCTGTGTGGTTGCTGTTGACAACCTGGTGGTTTCTGGAAGGTAAAGCAGGAAAGAAGCCTCAATTTGCATAATGGATGTGCAAAGTGAACATTTCACCTAATTTATCACTTGATATGCTCCCGCTCTCTCCCCCGCTGTCTGACATATTTGTTTTTCTTCCCCTGCCTCGATGGCTCAGCGCAAATCTCTCACAATTTATGTCTAACGGCTTTTAACGTTGCTTGTTTTCACCGTCTCTCACTCCCTCTATCTTCCCTTTCTACCTTCCTGCATCCTCTCTTCCTCACTCCGTGACATCTGCCTCCTCTAAGCCGAGACACAACGGTGAAGGTGTGGCACGTTCCCACAGCAACGGAGCAGAAGAACCTGGGGGGTCACACTGGTGGAGTCACCTGTCTGTCTGCGCCTCCCCCTGAGTACTGCAAGAGGCTGGGTGAGGACACGCACACACATATATACACACATATATATATATATACGCACACACACTACATGTGCAGCGACTACAGCTGAGTAATGCCTGTGTCCTGCAGTCTGGTAATTATAGGAGCAGTTCATCAGATCAGCCCCAGTGAGAGATAACCTCAGTAGACACTTTAGAGAGTTCACTGTCTGTCTGAAGCAGGCAGCCTTCCATCACTTAAACTCCAACGGCCTCGTCGGCTCTCCTCCTACACTCCCTCCCCACCTGCTTCCCTCGACTTCAAGTACCAAGTTTAGAAGTACAGATGATGCCGCTCAGTCGAACTAATAGTCACACTATGTTCAAAGACTAATTATTTGTTGTTGTTGTTTTTAAAATCATTCTCTCTTTTGCCTCTTTCTTGCAATCTGTCGTCTTTTTGTACATCATCACTTATTTACAGCTTCCTCTCAGCTTAATCTTTTTGTCATCTTCTCTCTCACTTTTTCTGATCCCCATTCCTTCCTCTTCCTCCTCCTCCTCCTCTTCCTCCTCCTCTGTCCCCTCCCACTCTTCTGTCTGTGTTTGTCCTCATGCCAGCCCGGTCCCTGTCTTTGTCCGACAACGAGAGGTTTATTTTGAGTGGCTCGGCAGACTGCAATGTGAAGATCTGGGCCCTGAGCATTGGTACGCTTAACCACACAAACATACACACACACACACACACACACACACACACACACACACACACATATATATATATACTGTATATATTAAGGTAGACAGAGCCTCTGGGCTCTGTCTGGGAAACGTGTCTGTGTCTGACTGTGCCTCATAACCAATGAATGCCTGTGTGACTGGTGGTCTGTGTACTGTCAGTGAAATTAGTATTTTCCTGTTACCTGCAGGGCAGTGTGTCAAGTCTATCTACACGTTCAACGCTGTGACTGCACTCTGCTTTGTGCCAGAGGAATACGGCTACATTATCACCGGATCAGGTGTGGGGTTATTTTTTTATGCGAAAATGTTAAGAACTAGTGACACAGTGAACTGAATAATTGCAGCTAGACTTGTGTTTGTATGTTGAATCTACTTCTGTCCATGTATGCACCATCTGCCGTCAAGTTAGTGAGTGTAGCGCAGGGCTATTGGGCTGAATCAGAGAGATGGAGGCACACAGATTAGGCAGTCAGGCTCAGGTGGGTTTCGACCGTGACCAACAATAATGACTGCCAGCCGCCTGTCAGCACATGTAACCCTCATGCTCTGTCAACCCTCAGACGGGGGGAAAGTTCAAGCCTGGAGCTGGCACACTTTCGAAAACTGCCAGTCAATCAACGCTCACCAGGAAGCAGTCACCTCCATCCAGGTGGGTGGGTCACTGACCGGCGTGCCGTGATGTGCTGTCCACGCCGAGGCTGCTCAAGCTGTTTTTGTGTTCAGCCTATTTTTAAAAGGCTGAACACAAAAAGCACGCCGATGCTTCTTTCCCTGTTGAAGCTGTCCAAAGTTTTAGAACTCTTTGATTTTTTTTTTAATTTGTGCAAAAGCCCTCAGAAAATCAAACGGTTATATTTCTACACTCTTATCCTCACAGAAGCATTCCTCGTTTATTGCTTTCAAATAGAAATCAAAGATATTTGTTAAGATGTGAGCCGTGGAGCTCGGACAATTTTAGAAAGCATACTGTACATATTTTGAGCAAAACAGGCGTTTTGTGAATATTGAAATCCAGAGCCGCATATGCACATTCTTTCTCAATTCGTAATCATCAAAATATGCCTAAAGCATTAAAGCGTAGCGCATCATTGTCGTCCTCTTTGTTAGTCTTCATGCAAAGCGCACAATCCATTTATAACCAACAGACACTTGGAAAAATGTACATTTTGAAACAATTCTTTTACACTTACTCAAACATTGCTCTCCCTTTTTTTTCTGTGTATGTATCTCTCTCTCACACGCACACACACGCACACACACGCACACACACACACACTGGGTAAAGACTCAGATCACCATGACAACCGTGTCTCCTGTGCCCTCCACAGACTCAGGGTCCAATGGTGTTCAGCGGCGCGGCCGAGGGAGGGGTGTCAGTGTGGGAGAACCGGTGTTCGGATCGAGACCCCCTGAGGCTGCTGCACCACTGGGGCGAAGAGGTGACCGGCTGTGGAGGGGGGTCGGGCGGGCGTCTGACACTCAGCCCGCGGGGAGACAAATCGTTCCTGGCTTACGGTCGAGCCTGGCTCAAGATCCTGCACTGGAGGACCGGTGAGCTCTGGAATGAGCAGCGTCTGTGTCTGTGTGTGTCTGTGTGTGTGTGTGTGTGTGTGTGTGTGTGTGTGTGTGTGCGTGTGTGTGTCAGGATGGCTGAAAAAGGAAGGTAGATGAAGAACATTTGCATATTCTTTCCACCTAACATCTGTCTAATTATCACAGGAACCATGTCCAGACTGACCAATCACAACAGCATCACCGGGATAACAGATTGTGTCCACCAGACAGGAGGCCTCCTAATTGGCTCCTGCTATGATGTAGCGAATGGAGAGAGCTCGCTTAACTGTGAGTCGCAGAGTAAACCGTGTGCAACCACAAGTAACTCGCTCCGCTCAGAGAGAGTGAAAGCACATTAAGGACTTGAGACAAAAATCGAAAGCACTTTGTTTTCCTCTGTTGACCCCCCATTTCCTTCATGTCCCTCTAGTGTTCTCTCTGCCTCAGTGTCGGTACCTGGCCTCTCTGACCTGGCCCGATGCTCCCAGAATCCTCTGCTTCGCGGCGTGGACCACAGGGAGCGGAGGCCACCGCTGGGTCACTGGAGGGCGCGACCTCATCGTATGGGAGCAGCTCCCCAGTTCTGGGAAGCAAAGGTGGGCACAGTTCACACCAACGCCACTCAAGTTAAAAAGATTTTAATCTAAACGGCTCAATTATATTTTCTATTTGCATATTTCCTCCAAGGTCAACTGCTCTGCTAATTCTGAAGCTATACTGGGATTTATGAGGTGCTAATGAATATAACTGATTTCGACACACACCTCTATTGATATTAGGTGTTTAATTAATTGCGGGTGTGAATGTTACAGGGGTGATGTCACAGCGAAGAGAGACAGTCGGTTGGAGTCGTGTTTGCTGGAGTCGGAGGGGGACACAGAGGATGACGAGGAGACTGATGGTACACACACAACACAATTTCACACATCCTCATGTCTTCATTTACTGACTGGCACGCTTAATAAGTGACCACAGAATTGCAGATTTCACTATCGTGTTCATTTTAGATGATGCATGTTGTGGCGAATCCTCTTGACCTCCTTGTCAAATTTAGATTACGAGGACGACGATGACGACGATGAAGCAAAAGAGGAGGATGGAGGGTCCGGCTCGTGGTTTCGCTGCGTTCTCCAGTGAGTGCCGGTTTCTCAATGCTGAGGACACCACGGCCTGGAGCCATGAAGAGGAAATGAGAGGGTGGGAGCATAGTGACAGTGAAGGAGGGTGCAGGGGAATGAAGTGTGACAGACTGAGTGTCGCTGTTGGAGGGAGGGGGGGGGGGCGTATGGATGCAGACTACGAGAGTGTGTGTGTTGAGTGATAGGCAGATTGTTTTCTATGTAAATATTATTTCCACACAATAAAGCTGTCACCTTGTGACTCTCACCTACAAATTTGCATCACTTGTTGTCTCTTTTTTTATTTCAATCTGACCCTGCCTCTTCTTCAAACACCAGTTTGTCACCCGGCTCTGCCGGCGCAGCCCTGTGTAAATGAATGTAAATCAAATTCTTTTCTACCTTAATTCCCCCCTTTCTTTCCTCTTCCTCCCCCTCCTCTTCCTCCTCCTCCTCTTTGCTGTCTGTATTTCTGTCTCTTGCTCTCTGGGGTGTCCTTGTCTGTTTTTGTAAACATAATTGAAGAGTTTTTTTGTTAACCTCCCGCCTCTAAAATGAGCTTACCAGTATCGTTCTCGGTATCATTTCTTTTCGCCTCGTCAAATTAATTTCTTTTCCTCTGCGTCCATTTAATTGAACCAGTTTTTTTTTTTTAAAGACATAATTAGCATTTAAATCTCTCTCCCACAGTCTCTTTCCCTCCCTACATCGCTCTCTCTCTCTCCCCTCTCTTACTCGAGCAGACTCTACATGTCTCAGTCGCTAAGGCAACCGATGCTTTTTTTTTCTCAGTTGCTCTCTGTATCTCCCCCTTTCCCTCTGTCTCCCTCTCTCATTCCCTCTCTTCACTGCCAAAGGTAGGCATGATAACTGATATGTGTCGGAGTGCGTGTGTGTTTGTGTTCGTCTCCCGGTGTGCTCGTGTGTCTCTTAAGTGACATTTCTGTGGCATTTAGGCAGCAGTTCTTGATAGGAAGTTGCCTTTCTCCACACAAAGTGCCACATAAGAGTATTGGCTCCATGCATGACGCTTCTAATGGTGATTAATGTGCTGTGCTCAGGTGTGTGCACTGTAAATGTGTGTGAGAGAGCAGAACGGACAATGAGTATGTACTTCTGGGTGTTTTTTGAATGCAGATGTGGATTCTGTTCGAACATGTGGCGCATAATTGAGCGTATCATTTAAAAGCCCAGGGGAGTCTGAATGCTTTTTTTATTTTTTAAAGATGACAGAGTTGGCTTTCTGCCAATACTCTGGTGTCTACATGTTTTTTATCTGGCAACATAAAAGAAGAAAAAAAGCTGGACCCTCCTCCTCTCCCTCTCTCTCTCTCTCCCTCTCTTGCCCCTCTGTCCTATCTTACAGAGAGAGATGATCGGAGGAGCGGAGTCTCAGTGAACAGAGCGAAGCGATGGAGAGATGGTAAGATGATAGTACCTGAGGTGAAGGAGCGATGTATGTGGTGCTGATGCATAAAATGTCATTCTGAGTGATGGCCGGCATAAGAATCAATGTCTGAGCTGATGAGGTCGTGCAGGACGCCTGTGGACAATACATTTTCTTAGATAACTTCTCTGTCACTCCACCACCTCTCATTGTTTCTCCTCCACTTCCCTTCCAGCTCCATCTCTCCTGTCGCACGACTGACTGCCCTCCGCTGCCTCGTCTCCATCCTCCTGGTTGCTCTGGTGACACAGCCCTCCACCTGTAACCGTGACAATAGTGAGGGCGAGGAGCAGGCGGACGCCCTGTCGGTCCAGCTGTCCGTCACAGCCCAGGTCACACCCACCCCTCTGTGGGCGGTGGTCTGGGGTCCCACGCAGCCTCTGGAGGATGAGACCTATCACTTCCTTTCCAGCCAGGAAACTGACCCCCTGCACCAGCATGGGAATCAGCAGGAGGCCAGCAGCACCAAGTCAAACTGGCCTGCAAGCATGCAGCCCCGAGAGGAGGCACCGCTGGAGTCTAAGGACCTGGAGGGAGTGGAGGACGGAGGGACGGCGGCGGAGGAGACGGAGCCTGAGGAAGGTGGGCATCAGGAGATGCACATGAAGGATTTCTAAATAAAGATAGCCATGAGCTGAAGCCCATGTGAACACACACACACACACACACACACATACCGCAAGTCCTCCAGGGAATTAGCTGTCACCAGTGTGAGGGCTGCTGTGTGCTGCCGGCTGTGTCTGTGGCGGGGGATGCCTAATAAAGTTCTCATCACTCACAGGAGGAATTGGCCGCTGTCACAATGCAAGATACAAGACGTCACCGGATTTGTGTTGTAGTTGGAGGACGGCGTCTCGCACATTCAATATCATGTTTCAGCTGGCTTTATTGGTCTCTTCTTCTGTTCTGGATACAATTATCCATGGTCATGGTCTGAGATTGGTAATTGCACGAGTGTGTGTGTGTGTTACAGTGGACCCTCAGTTCTACGTCACCGTGACCATCTCCTCGCTGCTCATCCTGACGGCAGTCATCATTACAGCCAAACTCTGGTAGGAATCTCCAAAATATTGTGTGTGTGTGTGTGTGTCCATGTGTCCACATAAATATGACATGGGCATTGCTGAATAAGAGTGAATGATTAGTAATCTTTCCCTGTATGAGACACCTCTCCTCGGTAGTAAGAGAGCAGCTCTGGTTCTCCTGATTCAAAGGGTTTTTTTCATAGTAAATATGTGGATTAGAAAATGTATCATTCAAAGAACACACACAGCGAGGTGCAGTCCAGTTTGAGCTTCAACACAAGATGTCTCCCTTAATATTACGGCATTTTGTATTTCTAAATTGGGTACTTTAAGACCGAGAGAATGAGGTTAGATTAGGTGCTTTTCAATCTGGTCGAATTTGTTGCTTTTCATCTTGTTAATTGCGTGATAATTGTACTTCTTTAGTATTCAAACGATCTTAAGGGGACTAATCACTCTTTTCTTGACTTGATTAGAATCCGTAGAGACATCCAAACACTAAAGAGGAGTCACAGGTAGACATAGCTTAGTTTTGAGTGGTAAAATGTTTTGGGAACAGCTGATTTGGAGATTAGTTAAGGCTCTGCAGAACTGTTGAGAGATTGAAGTATACCCTGTTTTGAAAAATGGAGCTTAAAGAGTTTAGAATTTGTTATTTTGTACTGGAAAATTGGAGACTTGCCCCTTTCTACCCACTGATGGGTCAAGATAAACATTAATGAATTGTGCCAGATGTGTAGGGATTTAGGAAGAGGCCAGATGAGACTTTGATAGTTGCAGATGTGTTTGCAAGTGCACGTTGGTCTGTCTGTCATGTCTGTCATGCGCCTCCACGATTACGTAATGTGTCTACGTATTCCTCCCTCAAGTGAGAGCTGAGTAATAGCTAACTAACGACTTTATTAACAACACTTGTGTTCCTGACAGTCACAGTTGGCACAGTTGTGTCATTTGGTTCCATTAGAGTTGCAATGATTAAACATTCTCTATAACCAGTAGGATGGAACTGGAAACAAAAACAGATCTGTTGCTTTACAGGCTTGAGCAATAGCAATGGCCTCCTGGAGCATTGTAAGGCAAGGTGGGGGTTCTGTGTACGTTACCTTTTCAGGCCTCGTAAGGAAGAGCTTGCTGCACACATGGTCATTAGCTGTAAATGGGGAGTCATCTATGCGATGTAGTGGAGCACTTCCACGCTTTGCTGATCAAACCAATAACACCTAGTTCATTTGACCACTGGGACTCCTCTCTCCATCTCTTCACACATCTCACACTCTTTTTTCTGTCCATCTTTTCTCACCCAGTTATACTTTTACTCTCCTCCTTACTGTAATTCTCGTGTCTGCTCATCTTACCCACAGATCTATTGCAACATGACTTTTTCATTTCATTGCCTGAATCCATAAAATTAGCTCTCCTTCACATCATGTTTTCATACTCTTAAAGGGAAAGTTCACATTTTTCCTCTTACTTGTTTTGCTATTTCTCAATCTAGATTGTTTTTGGTGTGAGCTGCCTAGTTTTAGAGGTATCAGCCGTAGAGATGTCTGCCTTCTCTCTATAATGGTATATATCAAAATATAATACATTTGAAAAACTCAACAGTAATGTCTCTCTCTGAGAAATGTGACGCAGATAATCCACAGACCTTGTTGTGAGCGGTTTCAAGTAGGAACTATTTTTATTAACAATATAGACTGATAAATAGCACGACAGGCAAGGAGAAAAATAAATTGTTCCTTTAAAATCTGTTTTGCTCCCACACTCCTACATTATCTCCGCTTGCTCTCATTCTAACCATCACTCCCTCCTCCCACTTGGCCCTCCTTTCCCTTCACCCCCCCCCAGGTTGTTTTTTTCTGTCTCTGAATACCTGTATTTCCCTTCTTCCTACAGGTTCTTCGCTTAGTTCCAGTTATCACCTCGCCTTGCTCTAACGCTGCCTGTCTTTGCACAGCTGGTACACCTCTTATCTCCCTCACCAGTCTCCTATCTCTCCCAGCACTGCCAGTCCTACTGCTGATCCACAGATAATCCTCCAGCTTGCTGTGAGCTGATACACGATAAACCCCCTTTTCTCTCTGTTCCGGAGACTTGCCTTCGCTGTTGTTTCGATAACTTACTTCAGCGGCCCCCGCCGTGGAGGAAAGCCCCACGATGCTGGTGGATCCAAAGTGGCCCTACAAAAGTGAGAATTGCTGAGATTCGAGGCTGGAGACATGGCAGCGGCCCTTCTCTATAGACTGGCTAGTGCTTCAGTGTCATAAATGTGTAAATAACGCCATGTGTTAGAAGGAGAGAGTGCCGCGACATGAACGGGAGAGGGGGTACAGATGGACTGAAATGATAGCCTATAGTGGAAATTGGCCACCGTCCAGTTCATTATGATTATGGAAGAGCGGCATATGTGCTCAGTGATTTTCCCAGCCCTAAAATCGTGAGTGTGGCTAATGTTATCAAGCGTGACGATGTGTGTGTGTGTGTGTGTGTGTGTGTGTGCGTGTGTGCGTGTGTGCATGTGCATGTAGGGAGAGAGGAGTCAGCCAGAACACGTGTTACTGAGGGAAGATGAGGGTGCAGCTTTTATGGCTGCAAGAACAGCTTTGTTGTGCGTCTAAGTATTCTTAAGAGTGTGAACTTGTGGCTCTCTGTTGTCACCTTCCTCACTGAAGTAATGGCACGCCACCTCTGTGATGCGTCACCCCTCTGTCCATTCCTTAACCTTGTTGCATCCTTTCCTCACCTCACCCCTCCTGACTCCCTCTCTCCGCCATCCCACAGTGCCGGTCTCCTTCCCCCATTTCTCCCCCTCCCTCTACCCTCAGCTGACAGCGTTTTAATGAGTCCGATGAGTGCACTAATTCTCTCACACAGTGGCAGAGTAATGTGTTCGCTGATGCTAAATGTCTCGGCTGTTCTTGATGGTCTCTGACTCTGTTTCTCTGTCTCTCCCCCCTCTGTCTTTTCTCTTTATTCTGCTGTTTTTATCTGTGTCTCTGTCCGTCTCCCTTAATTCCACCCTTCTCTATAATTTCCTGCTCCCTGTCTCTTCCTCCCTAACCTTCTTCCTCCGTTATCTGTCTCTCTAAAACTCCAACTTTCTTTGAGTCATTTAATCTTGGCTTCTATTCCTGTCCCTCTTCTTCTTGGTCTCTTTTTTCTATAATTCACATCTTTTTCTTTTTCCATCCTTCCGTCTGCATTTCTCTTCTATTTCCCCCTCCATCCCTATTCCACGAGTCTCCCCCAATTTCTCTCCTCCCTCCATCCACTCTCCTCATCTTCCCCATCTGTGTCATCTCTGTCTCCCAGTTACGATCGCAGCTGTTTCCAGCATCCACCCCCTCTTTCCCGTGGCGTGGCCCCCCCACTCTCCCTCGCGCTCCCTCGCTCCCTCGCTTCGGAGGACAGCCGGCAGACGTTGCACAGCACCTCCTCCTCCTTCACCGACAGGGAGAGGTAATGAGTCGCCTCACCAGCTCTGCACAGTCTCGAGTGTGTGTGTCTTAAGTCTATGAGTCCGATGTGCATGTTTGAGTTTCTGTGCACCTCTAGATTCAAGTTTGCTTCTTTGTGTATGTGTGTGTCCAGCAGCATTATTACTTCTCTTGTTTTAAAAGGATGTACATGGAGTATAAATGGGCAGTAGTGGTACTCTCTGAGGAGTATTCAGGCCTGGAGTGTTGGTACTGCTGTAAGATGTATCAGTGTGTTAAACTCCCTCTACGGATGAGTCATAGTGGGCCCCAGCCGTCGTCCATGAAATGAAGCTTTTATTTGAGGGTATTCAAAGTTAATCTCAATCAGGATAATTATAGTGCTATACTCCCTTCCTTACTTCCTCCCCCCCCATAAGCTTTTCCTCCACCGTCCTCCTCTTCCTCCTTCTCTTCCGCCTCTTCTCCTCGCCGCCCTCTCAGTCCCCTGCGATGCAGCTTTCCGTTTGGGTGTACACCAATTTTCCAGCTTCAGGCCTCCCTGCTCCTCTTCTCTGCTCCCTCTTCTCCCATCCTCAGAGTTCCCAAAGCTTCCCCACAACCCTCCCCTTCTCCTTTTTGTCTCTTTTGTTTTCTCTCACTCTTCTTCTCTCTGTCTCTTGCTGTGTCAGGATCCCAGTTGTGAACCTCTGAGGTGACTGTTTTTCCATATGGTAAACATTGCTTGCGGGCCTGAAGAGGAACATCAACGTGACCAGAGGGTGTGCCCGCAGCACCGCTTATCTTCTCTGAAACTGTGAAATGAATCCAGGTTTCCCAGGTATCCAGCCATCACAAAACTCCTGGGCTTCCCTGAGGTCTGAAAACCCAAACACATCTCCCTGCTGCTCCCTCCTCCCTTCCTTCCTTACTTCCTCTGTGCTTGGTATAAATTTATTTCATGTGGCTCATGCGTCATTGTAACCTGCTCCCTGTTTTCCATCCCCTGTATGGCCCCGAGCTCTGCCAAGCCAACCAACTGTTCTGCGCTTCGACCCGCCATGACTAATTCACAAACAACCAGTTTAGCAGACCTGCAACATCCCATTACATCTGAAATGTATTACCTGTGCCTCCGCAACCGTTTCCAGTGATTCGGCTGCACTCTTGAAGCTGTTCAGTATTCATTCTAATCCAGCGGACTGTTCTTTCTTGAAATGACACTCAAATTCAGTTTAGTTCAGCAGGCTTGTATCTGGTTCGCAAATGGTTAAAAAGCCATTCTCAGCATCTCCAAACACTGAACGGGGTATTTCACAAAGCTGTTTGTCACGGCTGTAGCCAACAGGCAATGTGTTTAACATGTCACGCTCCAAAAACTGCTGTTTATTCCCCGCTTTGGGCGCCTGGAATGCAAATAGTGTGGCTTTTCCCCTCTGCAGTGTGTAGAGGAGAATGTGTTCTTTTAGTTTTTTCCCATGATTTGTTTTGTTAATTATCTGGCTGACGTTCACCTCTTTGTCGAGCCTTTGTGAGCACCCTCTGTTCCTGCTGGACTGTGTTAGAGGTGTGTTAAGCATATAGTGCTTCCAGTGGCGGAGATAAAATATTCAGAGCGGGAATGGATAGAGGCATTAGTGTTGAAAACCAATGATTCCCAAAAGGTTTTGGATGGTGCGCAACAAAGACAGATTTATGTTGTCATGGAAATGAGCATCTGTGAACTGTACGTGTGATCAAAGGACTGATGTTACCACGAAGAGGATTCCTTTCCCCCACCTGACAGCCAAGTATCTCAATCTGGAAGACAAAACCACTGTAATTTCCCTTCGTATCACTTTTCAAGTCCCCGTATATCAACTGTCTTGGGTGCACCAAAGGAAAGCAGTACATCAAGGAGCATCATTTCTGTCTCGCCAATGAATCTGCATGTACACAGTAAGAACAACCTGTGAGAGAGTATATCTTCAAATCTATTATTTATAAATGTCTATTTTATCTATCAGTGAGTGATGTCTCATCGAACCTTTCAAAGCCAAATGTCAGTTTGTGTTTGCCAACTTTTCTAAGCAGCTTTGAGACATATACCCCCCCCCCCCACACACACTTACACATATTCCCACCACAGACATAGTGCTGGTGACATCATGCGTGGCTCGTGCTACCCTCCAGATATCTAGTCTTGTGAATTTTAGTAGCATTCCTGTAGAAATGTGGTCTTTCTGTACCATGGAAGTTCAATAAAGACTCAACACTGGCATTTTAGCTCCGCGTCTATCTGTTTATTTCTATGCATGTTGAATGAATTCCCCTGGGAGCTGTGTGATCTGCAATGCTTTATGGGAAGGACAAAGCTTACAATGTGCTTTTTAATAGCTACCGCTGTATCCTAATCTTTTTCTCCCTGAAGTGAACATTTAGTCCATGGGCTTGGCATTAAAAAGTACTGCATGTGCCAATCATGTCGAAGAAGGGGGGCGAAGAATAAGGCGGCCGCTTGTGTCTGAAGCTTTTCCTTATCTCCTCACCTCATATGGGTTCCTCTCGCTTCAGAAAGATTAACAGCATGCAAAGCAAGAATTCCCTCTGTGTACAGTTTTTCAAACGAATGTCAATAAAATCAAGGCAGGCTCCAGAGGAGAAGTGCCATTCGCGTCCATTGAGATTCTCCACCAGCTACTGTTTCCATCTCCTCTGGGCATTTTACTGATCAATCAAACTAATTGATTGCCTTTGTTCCACTCTGAAATTTTAATGACCGTCTAGTGATGAGACACATACTGTACCAGCAGACGCTGCAGAAATCTGTAACGGCGGCAGACAAACAACAAACACTAACGCAGAAGTTAGGTGTGAACTCACATATGCCGAGTCATCGCTCACATGCTTTATAATAAACACACACGACTCAACTGCCACGTTCTCTCAACGCGACACGTGGGCCAGCTCACCCTCTGTCACTACCAAACACGTGAGAGGTGAACAGCTGTTAGAAATCACAGCTTCAATCTGTGAACCAATGAAGCTCAATCACACCGGCTGGAATTAACGCCACTATTTATAGAGGTGGGGCGGATTTTGTAGAGAAATATGCAGGGTTAAATGAAGCAGGACCATAATTTCCCTGTCGTCTATTCCCCTCTCACTGCTGATGCTGGTCAGATAATTGCTACCATTAATGTCACGCAGGATGGAGAGCGGAGAATTAGAGAAAACAGAATCACAAGAGTGAGAGACGGGCACGATGAAGGCAGTTCTGACTGCGTGATGGAGGTACAAGGGTGGCTAGCAATTCCAACAGGCAATTTTGACTTTGAAACAGAAGCTCTGGGCAAAACATACGCACATGAAATATGAATGTGCTTTGTGTGTGTGTGTAGCCATGCTGGTTGCGCACAGGGGAAGCCTCAGCTCTATAATACATTAGTCTCTTTAGGGACATGCCCTAATTAATGGCTTGACCTCCTAACGAGTAACCCCCTTCTGCGAGTTAACATTTAGCGGTGCACCCTCCAGAGATGCACTTTGAAGTGCATTTAATAAAAGACGTTGACAGTGACATTAATGAGAGAGACAGGGTATGTAAGTACACGGCTTCGTTTTATTTCCCGACAATTTATATTCTGATTTTATACACGTCTCAACTCAGCAGAGAGAAAAAAAAAATACAAAGCAACATAGAATCAATCTAAACCCAAAGAAGAACATTTGTTTAAACCAATAGAGATACACACATACACATCAAATACACTGATCCTGCTTCTGGTCAAAGGCAACTGACTCCTGCTGCAGACTGCTCCGTCTTCATGTACTGTATTACAAGTGACACGTGTGTGTGTGTGTGTGTTTGGATACACTGAAGAGTTGATGTCACACCTGTCATTTTCCATCAGCCGGTGTGTTTCTGAATCCATCAAGGTGAGATTTGGTGACGAGAAACGTTCCCATGAAGCTTCCTGGTTTTACTGTGAATATTGTGTGTGAGACCATGAACATCCGTTTGTCCGTCAACATGTCCACGTGTCTGTTAATCAGTGATAGTGTCCATCAGTGCCTTGTCTCCACATCTCTGTCTCTTGTTCTCAGTTGGACTTGGACCAGATCTTCCCACTGCCACGCAGCCTGAAAGGGGAGAACCAGTATGAAACACTGCATTGGCACTTTGTTTAGGATTTATCAAAACACTGTAATGATTTACATGTTTACTTTTCCACTTGCACTACTAAACCAGCATATTACTGATGCAACCTCGGTGCAACAGTGTCTTTGTGATAACAAATCTAACATATCTGCATCGCAATTGATCTCAGTGGATTTTCTATTTCAACAATTAAAAATAATTTGTGCAAAGAAGCTATTTCTAATAATAACAGCTGCACTATCAGTCCTGTCCTTTAAATAGCTTTATAAAGAAATGGTGTCAAAACTCTTTTTTAATTCGAGGATTGAGGTTAAGCTATCATTAATTTGGATTTCAAGTGGATCTTCATTTTGAATGAAGTGCAGTGCTGAGTGATGAAAATTATAGCGCTCTACGCTTCATCAAAATATGACAGGCAGCCAGAAAATAATCACCGCTTTCTGTTTGCGGCGGCAACAACATAAACAGCAGACGAGCGGAGCGTCTCTGTTGATGACTGGAGGGGGGACGGGGGGGGGGGGACGGGGGGGGAAGACGGTTCTTTCAGAAGGAGAACACGTGGGGCATCTGTATATCCAGTGACATTTTACAATCCAGGACAGATGTGAAATTAGCCATCGGTAATTGGGCCTCATGGAAGCGGAGCAGGAAGAGAGCCCCTGAAAGCAGGGTTAGAACACTGCTGCACAACACTGATGCGATAATAAAGCTACTTCATGCAGACACACGTTCACACGCAGACAAACCACTTACAACGGCAGCTGGCTTTTTAATGTTCATTGAAAAAAAATAGAAACACGGCGGTTCTGTGTTGAATTAACTTCCTCTCTCTACAAGAACACTGGACTAACGGCGTTCATTTAGTGTCTGAAGTAGTCTTTGTAGTGCTCTGCTCATAACTAGGTACATTTGTATTTATAAAGCTCTTTTCAATAACCACAGAACGAAAGTGTTTCACAAAACAAAAGCTGCAATAAAAGAAACTTAATGGGGAAAAAACTCAACATGCAGCTTTTTTTGTTCAATTGTGTGACTTGCAGGCATAAACAGAATTTCTTACTGAAAAAACAACAACATTGATTTACCAGCAACCACAATTCTGAATAAAACATCATTTCAGCAAATTATTCTACATGGCCAAACTTTTTATCGTTCTATTTTCTGATTTTTTTTTGTTCATGCTTTATGAATGCAATTTATATGCAAACTCTCGCTGGTTCCTTTTGTTTAAAAAGCCATAACATGCAGAGCACATCATTCATGCATGCATTTTTGTGCACGCAGCCAACCAATACAAAAGGTTGCAACACAGTACTCACCCTTTCACCTTTGAACTTTTTTTGCCCGGTTGTCGCGGCTCCTGAGAGGAGGCGGGGTCTCGTGGCTCTGCCGGCTGATCTGCGTCCTGATTGGAGGCGGCTCCAGCGGGGGCGGGGCCTGACGACGGAGAGGCAGCGCTGGCCTTTAACGTTTTCTGTAGGTTTGAGACCTGGAGTAAAAGTGAAGACGGAGTCATATTACATATTGCTATCAAAAGTAATTAGTTATGTTACTTGTTATAATACTACATTACTTTCGCTATCCCACTGGTCGGTCATAACTCGCTATTCTGCTTGTTTACAAAGGAGACGTCCAGTCACCAAACTATGAGACCAGTGATGTGACTGGCTGAGAAAATAATTGAAATCACCCAACCTGCTGATCGACATTCTCCTTCACCCAGCCATTCACGTTACTCTGCTGCAGATACATGAGCCAAAATAGAAGGTGGCGATGCCACGCGGTCCGTGCGCCTACCTACCACCTTTGCTCTTGGCCTTCAGTATTTCAATTTTAACTGAGGGTGCAAAATATTAAACTGTCTCTTCCTCTCCCTGATGTGCCCGAGGCGATATTTGACTGAAAGTTCACCTCGACGTGATGCAAAGATGCATACTGACCTGCGGCGTGACGCAACATAATCTTACTTGGCACAAAAGAGAAATCGCAGTAACGCAGCACTACTTTGAGTAATAACTGCAAAATAATGACTGATTTGGAGATTGTAATCCCTTACACTACTCATTCCTGGGGAATGTAATCATATTACAGTAACACCGGTCGTATAACAATACTCAGGTTTGTGGAGGAATTCCCACAGCAGCATGTTTATAATTGAATGTGTTTATGAACACGTTGCTGTTTGAGCTTACCCTCAAACTAAATGCAAAAAAAAGGAAATATGCAGTCAGAAGGAAAACTTAAAGACCGCAAGTGGCTGGAAGCATAAAAACAAAGATGCTGAAGAGGGAAGAGTCACATTTACTGGATTGTCTGGGGGGGGGGAGACTAACCTCTGTTTCCACTTGGACTTTAACTTTTAACTGGCTCTCTCTGTATTGGTTTGCCCTCGAGACCTGCTCCTCAATACCACACAGCACCGCCTCACAACCTGTGCACCTGAGAGAGGAGAGAAGGGCACGGAGGGAGTTAGGAAGCTGAGAACAGACATAAATAAGCACAGACACATTGAGGGGATACTGACCACTCCTGCAGCGTGTTGACTATGTTTGGCAGCTCGTTGGGGCCGAGGTCACGACCCACGCTGCAGTCTACCTCCACCTGCTGGTTCCTCTGGTCCAGTTTGCCCTGGATGATATCGCAGTACACGGCATCTATCAGCAGGTCCTCCAGCTCCCTCACATTCTTCAGCTCGAGCTGCTGCAGAAGCAGCGAGTACGGCAGGCACTGAGGGGAAAAAAAGACACGAAGAGACTTTACATATTCTCTTCTTTTTTTAACGAAGCTACAAAGGCAGATCATTTGATTCCACTTTAATGGTTTGATGGAAAATTACAAAAAAATGTTGCAGTAAAATAGCCTATTTGTCTAAATGTCACTGCCAGAGAAAGGTGAAAGGAGGGTTTGGAATTTAGCAATCCTTCACCGGGCAATTAGAGAGGTCACGCCTACATGCGGGGGAAAGCAGTGACATATTCAGGAGAAAAACAGGGGCAGGAGTGAAAGGAGCAACGGTCGAAGAAAGTGAGATTACGTTTATTAAGAGCTGGTGAGAATAATGAATCAATTATTTATCAGGAGCAGAGAAAGAAAAGGGCAGGTGATGTGCAGTACGGTTGGAAGGTGCGAGTGAGAGATGCCTTAATAAAAGAACATTAAATACTTCATCGTGCACACGGAGGGAGGGGTTAGAAGTCTAAAGTGACATGAGCAGTAGTGGCTGTGCTGGTAACTCCTCCTTGAGAAGCTTGAGACTGAAAGGCTTGTTGGTTTCTGAAATTCTAAATTAGCCGATTTAAAACAGCCACAAGTTTAAAGGGGACGTGTCGAGTTCATTTTCAGGTTCATACTTGTATTTTGTGTTTCTACTAAAACCTGTTAACATGCTTCTTTGCTTCATATGCAGGTCAATTCACACACTTGTGAGTAAAGCATAAAGGAAACTTTACACTTCATGATGTCAGCACAACAACCACAACAAGCACAGGGTAGATCAACTATAAATGCTGATCACAGATTCAGGATCATCATTCATGAAGGGGAAACGTCCTGAAACTTCGCACAGTAACGCAACACTGCAAACGCGATCATTTGGTAGGGATATGCAAGGAAACACATATTTGTGAAATAAATTTGGAAGATACATCTTGAAAAAAAAGATAGTAGTTATTACACGTATTCAGAGCTCGGCGTGGGCAGGTACTCACTCACCAATACGCAGCAGGCTACCGGCACTTCTACATTTTGATTTTTTTCTTGCACAGCAGCACTTCTCACGAGCTGCTGCTGCTGCTCCTGTCTGCCCTCTCCCCATCATGTTCTCTGGGCAACTCATAATGATTTGCTTCGAACTGATAATATTGTGCAGCACCAGAGTTTTTAGTTGTCATGTATAGTATTAGTATGTATAATAACAGCCTGAATGTGAAATACAGCTCTTTTAACATTACATGCATGGATAGGATTCCTTTGAAGAAACTGGAAATGTAAGTTTCGTCATGAATATCATCTTTTAAAACGTCAACACATTTAAGTAAATTTAGTGTGTGTGCTCACAAAAGACTCACTCCTGCTGCTACAACTCTGTCCTTGGGGAAAACACCCCCTGTATTCACCCCATCTTAAACGTTAACTTTTAACACGCGGGTTTTTCATGATTTGTCACAACCAACCTAACACAAACATTTAGAATAATGAGGATTACGTGCCATAATTAACAGCAGAATTATTAACATCGCATTACCATCTCGCTTTGTGAAGCCTACAGCAATAAGGTGGCTGCAGGAATTATATTTGTGAGGCAAACACAACATTACACAATTAATCTGCACCTCCCTGTGAAAACTGCAAAGTGAAAAGAATGAACCAGTACCTTGAGGTTGGATGCCAGGCTGATGATGGAGAGGTGGCGGAGTTTATTTCTCTGAGCGGGGGTCAACTCTGGAAGAGAGGCTGCTCTCTCTACAGCAGCACACAAGAAACATGGAATATTAAAAAAAGAGAGACACAACGGGGACAAATGCATCAGAGTAGTGTGGAAGCGTCGCTTGCTGAGGGTCAAACAGTCGCACACAATCGAGGCACTACTTATTACTTTGAAGTATAATGTTATACGGGGACACTCAGGTAGGTGTGGGGCTCTTTAAGCAGCCGGAGAACATAGTCGGGAGGAAGTCGGGAGGAAGTTGGTCCCCAGCGTCTGTGTCTCCTGCTGCCTTGCTCCCCTGGTGACAGGACTCACACCCTCCGAGAAGGCGGCTCTGACAGATCCTCTACGGGCTTCACTACACAGCTCTCTGAAAGTCAATGTGCTTCCTGTCGGCGTGACTCCAAAGGGAAGGGAACAATAAAGTAGGCTACATTTTCTTTCCAGGCTATTGGTTGATGTTCGGCATAAAATTAGACATAATTAACATTCCGCTTCTCGTTGAAGCTTCTCGACGCATTACACAGACGGCAAATTAAGTCACAAAAGATTAGTTTACTGTCCATTTGTGCCAGCACTGCTGCAACACACACAATCATCAGCCAATCAGAACACTTAATACAAAATGTTGGCCAAACAGATAAAAGCACACCAGTCATTTTGGTCTGTGAATAACCTGCCTCAGTCGAGGGCGTTTAAAGCGTGTGTCGGGGTAACAAAGAAAATACGGCTAATAATAAAAGAGTCGCAGGGACGCCCTATTACTTATTTACACTGTGCTGCCACAGCAATACCTTTGTAGTCGCAGTAGGTTCCATAGGCAAAGAGGTTGAGGAGCTGGTACATTGGTGCATGAGGGCCATTCTCCATCTGTGGCGTAGAAGGAAGATGAGGGGAAAGAAAAAATGAGGTGGCAGAACACAGAGGTAATGAGACTCTCTCCGCAAAAACTGTGCAACTGCAATTTGAGTCTTGCTGAGACTCTTTGAGAGTACGGCTGCAACCACATTAGGCGGCGCGGCGATAAGTGCAGGATTGTGTGGCGGTGTGACATGACACCGTGCTGCTAGTACGCCGGGTTACAAGTGATTGTCTGTCCACATCGACGGTTTAAAAAAAACATTTACTTTCAATAACTAACCAGGATGCGAGGCCCATCAAAACGGTGGGTTTTAAACTGGTGCACAAGGCACAATGGAGTGTGTTTTGGTCATCCGTGCTGCTCTTCTCTCGGTGGGCGTCTTTTGGTCTGATCTGTCTCCAGTGAACAGAGGAACCACTTTCATAGAGTGTCCTTATGGCTGACATCAGCTGATGCCTGTCCTGTCTTTCTGCAAGACTATCGACTATAATGTATTTGTTCTACTATTCTGTAAAAAGGCTTCACTTGTTACAGTTACCTCCAGGGGCGCAACATTTTGCGGAACTGCTATTTTCTATTTATTATTTATCTAGAACCTGATATTGAAATTGAAAAGAAGACATGCATCATCCCCCAAGAGGAAGACTGTATAGGAATACATATTATAAATAGCCAATGTTATCAGCTCAACAACAGATTAATAATATTGAGCTAAAATATATGATCGTGGGAGATTTTTAACTTTAAAAGTCCTCCGAGTAAACAAATAGCTGAGCACATATTGAAGCAGAAAACCACTGAGGAAAACCGAGAGGTCAAGCTGTGTGTTGAAGCTGTGCTTGTTCGTCCCTTTTACATGCACAGAAAAAAAACAACAACTGCAATTGAACTGTTCAGTGTATAGAAAGGGACAGAAATTCTTAGTAAATATCCCCCCCATGTCTGAATTTGTCACCATCCTTTTCAGGGCCTTTCTTAAAGAATGCAGCACCATCTTATTCTACTTTAACAGCATTTCACTTCCAGAATAGGGTGTTTACTACATATGATCATGCAAATTTGTCATACAACATAAGCAATATTTTGGTAATGCACTTTTTGAAACTGATAGCAGCATCTCGCTCAGGAACTCTATTTCTAGATGTGTTGATTGGGAGGCGAGTCATGACTTTGATTACATCATTGATGCACAAATGTACAGACATGTCCACATGCATAGAGGATGAACGTGGACCAATGTGGTTAGAAAACACCGGTGTGTTGATGCGACGCTAACTATGTGGCCACCTGCATCACTGACCCGTTTGATTGTGGTTTGGTTGATCAGATTCTCAATGCGTCCTGGATAAATGAACACCTCTGAGATTAACTGTCTCGTTGTGATTAAGATGGCTTGTTTTCATGCCAGGTCTGAAAAGGTCCCTAAAGACACAAAGGTTGAGGAAGATAAAGTGCGAGAGTGTGTTTACCTCTCTGACATTAGGCAGCTCCAGGATGTCAGAGAAGACGTAGAGGCCCGGGGTCTCCAGCAGAGTGCTGACAGCCTGGGCCAGTGCTGGGCCTGACAGAGACAGGAGCTGCTCCACCTCCATCTGACGCCAAAGGACACAGGAGACGAAGAGGTGAGCAGGTTAGACAAGAAGTACTACAGAGAGACGCATAAGAGCAGCAGAGTTGTGAGGAATGTTCAGATAAAAATCAAGGAAATTGCATTTCTGTTGCTGCCTTGGCTCTGCCATCTGAAAAACGGCTCTGAGGGACACCGTATCACAGTCTGCCATAAACACCATTGCAAAGCTCTATCGATGAACACTAGGACTCCACAGGATGTAGGTCTCTTTGTCATGCACAGCAGCCAAGCACCGAAGCACACGTAACCCTCAATTTACCCGAGGAGCTACTCAGACAGTGGAGGAGTAGCTGCACTGGGTCGCACCAATGCAGGCAACAAGGGTAATGAATGCAAGGAACGGGACATGTTTATTCATCAAAACCAATTCTCTGCATACACGATGCAAATGCACTTTGGACAACACCAGAATAATTAGCTGACAGGAATCTGCCTGTGTCTCCAGCAGATATTTAGGCTACATCCACACGATTATGTTTCTGATTAAAACTGGGGTATTAAAACTTAAACGATCTCCGTCTACGAGGGCGTTCCAGCTTCCTGTTTACACCCAAATGCCCAGTGTACGTGAATAGTCATTTTCACGCATGCTAGCATGAACGGAAATCATTTTAAAAACTGTCCTGAAATGCCTGTGTGGACGTAGATCGTTATGAAAAGTATTAGTGTGGATGTAGCCTTGGTCTCCAGAAAGTGAATCCCGAAAAACAAGCAAAAAAACTAAAAGCGTACAAGACCATTCCCCGATTCTTTACTTTTGGCCAGACTCAGCCTTTGTAATCCACAAGCTTTATAGTAAAAAATATTTAACAAAAAATAGCATGAGCAGGATGTCTGAATCCATTTGTGCGTGGCTTCCAATTCAATATTTCAATCTGAGAAGCTGTCCTGTTGACTTTGATGGGATATTTTAAAATATCTTAATCCCAGCAGACACGTCTTGGGACACAGAAGAAGATTAGTTTTACTTATGCATGATAAAACTATTGCAATTGCATCAGACTGTTTTTATTACCTGAGGCTATTCCCTAAAATTAAGGCAACAGAGAGTCTGGATACCAACTGCTGAGCTCAGACTAGTCGGACTGGTTTGTATTCATCACAGTCAGTGAGTGCAGAGAGGGCCGATATATTGTATCATCCTGAATCTGATGCACTTAGATGCACACATGCACATCTAAATGTGGGGTGTAAAGAGCATATTCTCAAACAAGTGGACCAAAGTGGACCTTAAATGGCTCTGAAGATAACTAAAAAACACTTCTAACACTTTTATTGAAACGAAGTGCAACTTGGTGAAATCTATAGCTGTGTTTTAAGAGATATACGGACCGATGTGTGCTGTTCTGCTGATGAGAAAGTCTACATAAGATGACCTGGGGCTGTATTCAGGAAGCTTCCTAAAACAAAAAGTTGCTCCTATTGGCGAAATTCTAAGATAATTTGTAATTTGTAAAGAATTTCCCCTTACATGTACGACAAGATCCCGGTAAAGATCAAAAGATATTCACAAAGCATCTTAGCGCTAAAGGTGTCAGGAGTAGGAAGGAGGACTTTTGAGAGGCTAAGAGTTTCTGAAGCAGAGCAGAAATGGTGGCAAGACAAAGAAGTAGGAGAAACATTCTCCAAACACTGAATGACTACATATTAGACCGTGCCGGGATAACGTTTGTGGCCAATCTCATTAGAGTACGTATGCCTCCTCAAACAAGACACGCTGCAGTTTACTGTCTAAAATGACATCACTTCACCGTTTCATCATATTAACATATGAATTCTTGAGTTATGGCCAAAATCAAATTGAAGTGGACATTTGAGCCAAATTTGAAAAAACCTCTTGGTGTCCCTGAGATACTGTGTTCATGAGAATGGCACTGAGGGACTGACGGATGAATGGATGGATGAACTGACGGGCGGAAGGATTGACGGATAGACCGATGGATAAACAGACGGACGTACAGATATGATCGAGTGACAACCTGTCGACCTCTGGCTACAGCTGTTGACAGCACTGAGGTATAAAAAAAGCCAAAAATGCAAAGGAGCAGTAGTGTCAGTCAGAAAGTCTTGGTTACTTATTTATAGATTTGTTTTAGAAAGGAAAACATGGCCATTATACAGTATGTGTCATTACAACACAAAACACTTTGAGTTTAAATTATATTATTGTGTAATTTAAGTGTGAAGAATGAGCCGATAACAAGGCTGAAAACCAACAATCATTTTCATTATTGATTAAGCAGTCAATTGTCTCTTCCATTGTTTTATTGAGCACTAAATAATCAGCTAGAAAAGTGTCAAAAACATTAGTTTTATAGAGGTCAAGGGGATGTCTTCAAATTGGTTGTTTAGCCTAATCCAATTAACAATCTAAGACATAAGTAGATTTAATTAAAAAATTCAGTTTAGCCAAGAAAAGTTGCAATACCTCAGATAATCGGGAATTATTTGTCAGTGATTGTTAATTGACTGTTGACTGAATCCACGAGTAATTTCAGCTCTAATGTAATGGATTTTAAAGACTGATATTGTCAGGTTTCTGTTGCTCACAAAGGGAAGAGTCAACAGCATTTATACTGAGTAAAAATTTATATAAATAACTAAATATACACAAAAACAACAAATACACAGAATTACGTGAACACGTGTTTACAAACACTCCATCCTTGGTAGTGACTGTGATAACGGAATTATTTTGAAGTCTTAGACAGTAATAGACTGCGGGATGACACTGGCACATAGACACTCTTTACAGTTTCACGAGAGCATCTAAAAATCACACGTCAACTTTCAACCGAAACCTTGTGTTTTAAGATATTTAACCAGCCAAACTCACTCCCGTTTACACGCTAGCTTAACACCGCTCACCCGGCTATCGTTACAGCTAACCAATAACCCTGACAACAGACATTAATGCACAAGACAGATGAAGTGATGAATGTACAAAACGTATATAGTATCGTTCAGTGTACGACTTTGTTTTAAAGCTATGCGTTCTCATTGAAATGTATGTTAGCTATTATTCAGTCTCAATGTGTCACGCTAGCTCGGTTGCTAACGGCTAACCAACCGAAGGCGTCACTTATCCGTTGACGCTAGGCCTCAGTTCACTTTAAGCCTTTCTAGTGATTTAAATCATACCACTACACTTCGTAAGTAACTGGGAAGTAAAATACGCAAACACATGCTTCCGCAAAAGTGTTAAATAAGACAGTGTCTGTCCAAATGTACCTTGTTGTGTTGGTTTCTAGCAGACAGCCTCCCTCTCGATTGTTCAGTTCCGCTGTTAGCACACGTACGACAACAAAGCAACGTAAACGTTGATTGGACGGTAAAAGCGAAGTAGGCGGGACAAGTGCTGCTGTCAATCAGCATCTGCAACAGCGGATCCGGGAGAACAGCGCCATCTAGCGGTGATCTGATTTACACTGGGAACAGTCGAGATCAATACGTTGCTCAGCGGCGGTGAACAAACTGGAGGTCAGGACTACCAAGATACATCTGAGGGGGTCACAAAACGATTCAGGGGAGGGCATTTGTCTTCAGTATTGTCTCTTGTCTGTAAAGTGAAATATTTTAAAATCCTTGAACTCGCACAACTCATGTCCACGCTAAGGCCATAACACGTGACAGGGGGTCAAGACAAGTAGACTTAATTTTAAGTTGTCACAAGCTAAGCTTTTTTCAATACAGTGGGAGGATGCAGGTACATCAACGAAGAGATTTCAACTGGTTACCCTGTATGTGAGATGTGTGGAAATGTGGATGTCATAGACAGAAAAAAGGTAGACACAAGATACAAAATTAATTAAACAACAGACAATTTTATTGACATCAATTTTGTCTCAAAAGTCTAACATAGTGCAGGAAAGCTATTATTATTGATCTTAGAGGAACAAATACAACATTTCAAGCATTAACATAGTGACAAACAACTATTAGCTGTAAAGATATAGAGTTTTAATCCAAGCTTCTCCTTGCTTTTTTGACATTGCTGTGCCAGCCATTGTGGTGTATTTTTCTGAAGATTACTTGTCTTACATCACCTGCCTGCATTCATCTAATGTTTGTCCAGTTTTATCTCGTGTTTTTGTTATAATGCATATCAATCAATGTATTAAATTTCAGTAACAAATTGTATTTTTTAACTTTTACTTTTGGCTTTCATTGCTTATATTCGTTAGTGTCTATTTGCAATGTTCTACCAGTGGCCTGAGCTACTTCTCTGTGAGTGTGTGCTGGTCAGCCAACAGACTGAGGCCAGCAGAGATTTAGATTCGAATACATTCTCTGTGAGAAGCTCCTTTTCAGTCAGTTTGACCAAGAACTTAGAGACGCTATAAGACAGTGTTGTGTTGTGAAAAGCAACTCAAAATATGATTAAAGGAAAAGGGCTATTGATACAATAATGTATTGAACTGATGCATACACAAAAAGAGGTGATATTGAAGTCTATACATGTGTTTATACTCTGACGTTAGTGAGCTGCTTCATGAACCGGCCATCGGCTTGCTGTATTATTGATGCCCAGTAAATCTATTAGTGCATTGAACTCTATTGAATCCAGGGTGTTACATTGACATTGAAAATATATTATTAAAAAGCATTATTGTCTTGGAGTACCTGAAAACTCAGTTGAAGGTTATTTCCACAACACTTTGCATGCTTTTAGTAAATATTTGTGCACGTGAGCGTTCCCCATTGGCTAGCTCACAGCTGCCGCTCTGTACTGCTCACTGATAGCGTAATCGACCGACACCGTTGAGTAGCACCCACACTGCCGTTCCCCCTAAAACACTGTTAGCTCTGCCGTAGTTTGTACTGTTAGTGCTGTTAGCACCGTTTACTATGTTCCGCCGACTTAATGCCTCACCATGTTGAGAGCCGTTGAGAGGCAATGAAAACGCTCCCACTCTCTTATCAGGCACCTTTAAAGGGAAAACAACCTGAAAACTAAATACACAGTGATATTTCTGAAATAATTTTGCAGCTGAGTTTACTTGAGAATTTTAACAAATCTCTTCCAAAGATTAACAGCAGAGGCCCACATTTCTAGAACACAGTGACAGCCTTCATGGCATTCAGCTTTGCAACATGAAGACCTTTATCTAACGTGAGACCGGATAGCCTGACATTCAAAGCTGAATTCAACAATAGGCTCATTAATTGTAAATTGGCACACTCCAAAAAATGTTGGGCTAGCTGATGTCATTGTCAAATATTGAAATTCCTCTCTATCTAAAAGTTGTGCAATACTCCAATGTATATTTTCTTTTAATTCCCCCCAATATGTTTTATCTCAATTCAACAGATTTTCAGCAACCATGCCTTCAGTAAAAAATAAAAATAATATCATATGTTGTGTGTCAAGAATGACCTTTTGGTCATGCGATTAGTTTCCTGTTATCCTGTAATCATTACTTTTTCTCTCTCACAACCATGTGTTGAGTTCCAGACCTCCCAGTTTTGCAGTATTTTCAGTAGTATTGGGATTCAGTTGAGCTGAATGACATCCATCTGGCAGATCCGTTTATAAATGTTTTCACAAGGAACATCAAACCATGTCTTTGCGTGGCTGTCTAAGGTGGCACAATCCTCTCCATGTTCCCCTCCTGACTGATGGTTATTTGGCTCTGAGCTCCACGGATCCCAGTATCTGTGACAGATGGAGAGAGGAGGAAACATGGATTGATAGGGTAAGCTATAAATAACAACTGTGAACATTTCTGACGAACGTGAAAAACAAGCTCACCTCGCCCAAGCCTGTGATTCATTCATGACATTTTTGAACTCTCTTATCTGAGGTTTTGATACAAGACTGTTATGTTATTTTATTTATATTCACATTCATATTATTTTGTATCTATAGGTCAGGTAAAACAGGCAGCTTATTTTGCTTTGGATGGTTTAGGTTCTTCCTGGACAGTTTATTCGGTGTCATTGAACTTTAATATGAAACATAAGCTAATAAATTATTTACTGCATTAAATATTAAATCAGATCGTAGGCCTACTTGATTTGCAATGTTGTGTTGTCCACCCATCTCCAGTCTCCTTCCTTCTCTAAGTCAGACAGGCCGATCCAGAAGTGGTAATCAAATCCGTCCATTTTCTTGGCTTCTTCTTCCAGAGCGTCCTGAAAGTAAACAAACACAAACACACACACATCATTGACATAATGCACTCCTTAGTGCCAAAGCCTAAATCCTTAACCCATACCCATTTTTTAAAAAATCTTAACTCTAAGACCATGTCTTAACACTTTGACAGTCCTATATTTAGAAGGGAAGACCAAACAAAATGTCTTAATAATGTGCTAAAACACAAACTCAAACACTCACTTTCTTATTATATATGTACTTGGAAGGATCTTTATTTACAGTAAACTAAACACACATAGTCATAATAACAAAAGTGTTACTAACAACATAAATAATGGCTCCACTCTATTCACGTGTCCCAGTAAGTCATGATGACAGTGAGCCAGCATGTACGATACCAGGACCCTGAAACTGAAGCAGCTAAATGTAATTCAGCCATCATCAATTTCATTATCTACAACTGTTCTTTTCCTACTATATGAAAATTCAAAATGTCTGCTGTGAAAAAGGCCTGTTGCATAGGGTCACTAACCTCAATGTATACAAAGGCTGATAAAGGTTCACTTTGTCTCGCCCCAACAGAGCGAAAAGGGGAATCACTCTTGTGTCAGTCAAGCACAGTCTGTAGACACACAGTCCTGAGTAGAGGTTTAATCTTTTTATACAGTCTATGGTTTAATCAGAACAATATAGAGGAGTTAATTTCTGTCTATAAAGTTTGCTGACTTTACCCCGACACACACACACACACACACACACACACACACACACACACTCACACACACTCACATGCTGTTCCATGGTGTGCAGTATGGTAAGATGACTGCCCATAGCTGCACAGCTATCTCTGCTCCTCAGCCAGTCCAGCTTGTCATTGCTGAAGTGGTAACACTGATCCCCGACATGAAGCCATCCTTCAGGACACTCCCTGCACTGCTTAACTATTGGCGAGATAAAGAGTGCCAGATATGAAAAAGGATGAGGGTTAACAGTAAATTAAGGACAACAGGAAATGAAGATTGTGTGCACGTTTGATCGACATCCCGCCACCTGTCTTTGAACAGCTCCGTCCCAGAGCGCTGTAGTCCTCACACAGCTGGATGTAACGTCTCTGTGCCGAGTTCAGTTTCAAACCCAGAGATGAGGACTCCAGGGGGGCACCTGGCACCAGCCTGCCAATCACTGACAAGGAAGGAAGGAAGGAATAATGGATGGATGGATGGAAAGAAGGAAGGATAGATGGATAGATAGATAGATAGATTTCAGTCAGGACCAAAGTGGTGGACTGACATTGCCACCAACAAAAGCCCGACTAACAACGTATGCAATCGTCATATTGTTGTGTTTTCACCCACTACTGATTTCTCCCTCTGCAAACATGAATCTCCTCTGTACAGTCTGTGACTCTCTGATTTTACTGCTGCTGTTACTGGAGATAATTGAGTTTATATGAGCTCCCTTGCGGCTGTAAAAAAAAAACGATAATTTACAATATGAACTTTCTTTGGCTTCATTGCCAGATATTTTTACACATTTGTGTTTCCTCCGTTTATGGCGCCACTTCCACTTTGCCTATTAAAAACATGTTTCTGTAATGTTTTCTAAGAACAATAATTGATATAAGTCATTAATATAGATAATAGATATGTATTTATGTGGCTTTTATTTCTGTCAGAGGGACAGGCATCATCTCAGGAGGAAACTTGATAAAAAAGTATTGTCACTGATCAGGTTCAGAGGAAAAGAGAGTCAAGCCACTCAGTGTCCTTTTATAGTGTTTTACCTTTATTAACTGTAAGTAACGTTTTGCTGTGCTTAATTCTTCATATCAGAGTTTGCGTTTTTTTAAATAATAATGAGTAATCCTTGATAAAAAACGAATGACGTATATTACCATTTCCTGGAAAACCTGCTGATGTAAAACACATTCAGGTGCTGCAGTGATGTTAAATGTGGCTAACACGTAGACTACACAAAAACACAGTGATATACCCATGAACAGTATTTTAAAACTGTGCTGCATTTGTTTTGTGTGGCAGATGTTGTTTACTGTGCAGCTAACAAAGCAAATAAAGAGTCTACCTATAAGTAAAGTGAAAACATTTATTCTACCAGATGACCTGACCTACAATAGTTACATTTAACTGCTCGGAATATTGGCTGATTTGTCACGATACAGTACATAATGTTTGCTTCTTATATATTATTCATAAGGTAGAATGAAATCATTATTCTTACAATATGTTGGAATAGAAAGTATTAGATGTTTCTTTTTATCTCCTGTTGTTGCAAGTCATCATTTTCAGATACTAAAATGTGTACTCAATAGCTTCTGTGTCTCTCTATGAATGTGTGTGTGTGTGTGTGTGTGTGTGTGTGTGTGTGTGTGTGTGTGTGTGTGTGTGTGTGTGTCTGGTGGTAATAGATCAAGCATGTACATCCCCAGTGGTGTTTGTTTTAAATGAGTGTGTCCTCACAAGCACATTATCAGGCTGAGCTGCCAGAGCCTGTTGGCCCTGCAGGAGAAATATTTCACAATTATGGACTTTTGTGCTTTTTCTATTACATGACCCTCACCGGACTGAGGGGAGCGCTTTATCTTTGTTATTGCCAATTATAGGTGTCCAAAAGCACACTGAGCCGATATAAAAAGAGAATAATCAGCGAGAGGGAGTCTCACAGAGAGAGAGACAGCCAGGCTGATATACATACTCAGACTGGAGGGCAGGTTGTTTATACTTACAGAGCACAGTGAGTATGATGTTGGCGCAAATGGAGGCCAAAAAGCCAATAAGCATCAGGAGACCAGCCCGGCTCCTCAAACACTCAACGCCCCGCTTCAGTCCCTGGGAGCCTGATTAGACACAAAACATTTTAAATCCTGTGGTGAAGCCCAGAGTGCAGCCGTTGAGTAAAAAGAGATTGTAGAGCAGAACCGTTTGACCAGAATTTAGCTTCATAGGTTTTACTATTCCCAAAAGATAGCACTGTAAGTCTGCTGAAAGTTAGGTCAAGTGGATACTATATTTGTCTTTTGCTGCCACAAATGAAAAACAAAATATGCATGTAGACATATTCAGCAGTGGCAAAACATTCAGATCCTTTACTGAGTAAAAGTATCAATGGCACTCTGTAAAAATACTCTAATTACAAGTAAAAGTACTGCATTCAAAATCGCATTTTTAGTAAAAGTACAGAAATATAATCAGCGAAATGCACTTTAACCATCAACTGAAAAAGTATTCATGAGGCAGCATCTTACTTATCTTATACTATATTGTTCAGGTAGAGCAGATTGTATCTATTGTATATTGTTTTGTTTTACAACATCATATTCAATAATATGAAAAAATCTGTAGAGTTACTAGTAGCTAAAAATGTCATATAAATGTAGTAAAGTAGAAATTCCAATATTCCCCTCTCAAATGTTGTGGAGTTAAAGTATAAAGTAAGTTAAAGTAGAAATACTCAAGTAAAGTGAAATTATAGTTGAGTAAATGTACCAGATGTTGTACAGTATTAAACCACACAACAGAGTATAAAATAGAATCAGCTCCACCTCAACCACCTCGGACATTAAAATGCTGCTAGCATAGATTAGTGATAGTAATTCAATAGTTGAATATATGATTGTGTAACACCGATAAAGCCCATGTTGCCTGCTTAGTGAGTTACTTTTTTACTTTACATAGACTGTACATTTCCTTAAGTACAAATTGAATGCATGACCTTCACTTTAAATGTGGTATTTTTACATACGTACACAGGTATTGCTACTTTTACTTCAGTAAATAATCTGAATACTTCTTTCACCGCTGTTATTGAGGACAATACGTACACCATTTTCCCTATGAAATGTAGGCAAGTGAAGTAGACTTGACACTACAAAGAGGAAAAGTAAAGTATTTCAGAATTGTCACAGTACCTGATGTACTTATGTGTAGATGATATTTCACCACTGGCTCTTACAATCTCTCAATATCTTTGTCACATAAACAAACAATACCGTTGTGTTGGAGAATGAGCCTGTTCCCTCTAGGGCTCGGCTCCTCTGTGAACTCCTGCAGGTTGCTGTAGTTTTCTCTCTCCTCCATGGCTTTGGTGCCCTTGTTAACACTCTGTCTCACTCTGTCTCTCTTTGTACTGTACCTCCTCTGGTCCTTAAAGGCGTTGGTATCTCCTCTCCCAAGCAGCAATATTTCTCCTTGAAATTAAATTTGTCGCTGCTGGTTGATTTATCGAGGCAGGTCACCCTGCTCACAACACTGCTGCAGTGCTGTAACAAATGTGCTCAGTTAAACTCTCCTGTTTCTACAACTAAATAACGCCAGCTCTTTCTGGAAAAGAGACGACCGTGTTAATCCAAAGTTGGGGAGTCTTTCCTCACTTTGTTGGCTCTTTGTCTGCTTGTTGCTGTGCTGTTTCACTGTCAACTTGCCCTATTGCACAATCCCAGTGGTTTCCTCACTCTCGAGCTCTGTTTGGAGAGAAGCACTGATTCTGGATCTGACAGTTGTGTAATAGATAACAACGTACGTTATGTGGGCGTGTGAGTCAGAACAGAAATGTAATTTTTGAGAAATGTGGAAAAAACATTGAGTAACTTCAACTTCCTGACATTAATTTAAAAAAGAGAATTGGAACTGTGACAAGGTTGTAACGGGAAAGCAGCTGGGAGCTGTGTGTTTGTCCTGTGTGCGTGTGTGTGTGTGTGTGTGTGTGTGTGTGTGTGTGTGTGTGTGTGTGTGTTTGTCCTGTGTGTGTTGCAAGGAAAATAAAGCCAAGCTCTGAATCAAGTAGAAAGTCCACAGATTCATGAGAATCTTTTCTCATGAAGAAGAATAGCTGACAATGGCTGTAGGAATTAGGTGCCAAGAAAAAAATTATAAATGGGACATATACCAAAAAAAAACCATAAACATGTTGACAGTGTGTTGAAGCAACAGAGTGGGCATCTGGTGTGTGTGTGTGTGTGTGTGTGTGTGTGGTGTAGAGGTGATATTGTTGCAGCTGCTCTACTAACGAAGAGAATACAAATAACTCTCAACACACAAACACATGGCCACACACTGCGTTGACTACTGCTGAGTCGTACTTTTTACATCTCCATCTTTGCCAATTTTTAAAGAACGTATTTGTCTTTGCTCACGTTATGGAAAATAAACCCCAACCCGTATGCCAGAGTTCCATCATGAAATGTGTGTTTATCTGATCCAATATGGCGGGTCATCAATGGGGTTTGGCCACAAGATATTGCACCATCTGAGTTTACATGTTCTGGTCATCATATACTTTCCAGTCTGTCTGGTAGATTTCTCCAATCTGTACTTTCTGTCTCCTGCTCTATGGAATACCCAGAGAGCAGAGAGAGGAAGCCAAAGTTTGTGACACCCTTAGACAATGTGCACCAGTGGCATACGGTAGTTATGACGGGCCCGGTGCAAAGTAGGAAAGGAATCCAGATTAGGGAGCTTTGCTACTGTATCCTCCTTTGAAGAGGCGTATTTCTGAGGTGGCAATCTTAATCACTCGCAAGGGCCTGGTTCCTCCGGAGGGGCCTGCTCTACCGTGCAACAGCACTGCCTACACTGATGATATTTACTGATTATATTTACGCCCCTGTGTGCACATATATGTGGATCTGCATGTACACCAATGTTGTAGAATGCTTTTGGTGTCATTAGGCACCCTGAGCATCAGAGGCCACGGTGTCCTCTATGTTCTCATCGGGCTGTTGGTTTCGGGAGCCTCCTCTCAAGCTGCAGACACTCAAGAGGTGTCCTCTCTGAAGCTGATTATTGTTGCCGATTATCCAACCTGGCAACCAGCTGCTCAGCTCCAGGTACTGCACTTTCCTCTTTCAGGCTCCGGTAGATGGATGTGGACAATCCCACATGTATTCTGCATGTTTCTTTTTTTTGTTTGTTTGTACATGCACTCTCCCACAGCGATGAACTGCACCGTGTGCCCTGAAGGTTGGCTTCACGTAGAGGATCAATGCCTCTTCCTCAGCACTGATAGGGATGACTATTTCAATAGTACAAATAAGTGTACAGAGATAGGCGCCCATCTTGCCATCTTGCCATCGTGACCACCAAAGAACAGCATGTAAGAGTTTCCCTGTATGTTTTGTTCTCTTTATTTTAATAGATGTGTTGATGTCACAAAATATTTACAATACATTTGGATGCCATACCTTTTTAGGATGCATTGGAACAAGAAGGCAAAAGGATCGGAGGGATGTACACATACTACTGGATCGGACTGTCTGACATTGACAATGAAGGAGACTGGAAATGGGTGGACAGCTCAAAACTTATTAAAACCCTGTGTGTATGAAACGATTAAAAGCAAATAAAACACTCTTCTCATAATAAGAAGATATATTGTAGGCACTAAGAATACTGTCCTTACTGTCCATTAGTCAGGGGGTCGGCCAAGTCAGTATGATTCATCCTCTGGGGACCATGATTGCCTCTGCAACATTTGTGTCGATAGATTTGTTGCCTAAATAAGGCCTATTCCTAAAAAATAGAAGATCCGATTGGAAAACTACTTTGCAATTTGATCGACAAATAAACAATTATCTAAATAAAGTTCCTGTTTTGTTTATTTAGTATCAACAAATGCTCATTTTAATATATTTCTTAATATGTGTAAAAGAAAGTAACCAAGCCTATCAGTGCATTATTATAATAGAGCTTCATAGAAAAGATATCTAGAAACAATGTGAATAACATGTAGCATAACATAAACAATTATCAAAAGCAATGATCACAAACAATAATGTTAAAATGATGATTAAAAGAAGAATACGGCAATTCTGTTACATTACAAATATAAAAACAATCCAGTAATGGCTGATATGTAGCGACATGTGAAATATATTTTTGTGATAAACCAGTCTTTGAAATTAACTTTTTTTTAAACTTCCTGACCCTCACTAACACACCCAACAGAGTTTCACAGCTTAGTGGATGTGACAGAAAAATCCATCTTATCTGGACGGAAATTCAATTGTTTTTGATGTCCTCTTGAAAATGTCCCTGTGTGAGATATTATGTTCTGTAGAATCCTTTGGGTTTGGGGCTGAAACACAAAAAAAGTCACAGGTTTCTTTTTGAGTTATGGAAAGAGACACAGAGCCACAAAAAGCAAAGTGCAGATGTTGATTTGATTAATGTTTATTTTCTTCATAAAACACCTTGTGGCTAAATGTTTCAGTGCTGATGACTGTGAATGTGTGTCTTGAGTAATTTCACGAGTCCAGGAAATAGTTGTTACGTACGTCTTGCATTTGCAGAGTCGGCGCCTGAGGTGTGTCATCTTCTGCTATTGTCATCAGCAGAGAGAGAGACATAACTCTTAATGCCACATTAATACGCCAGTGTGATCGAACAGAAAGGAATAGGAATGGTTTAACTGTACTTGTCTGCGTCGGTAGAGGATGAATGCCAGGATGAGCAGGAGGATTACGATGACTGTGACACTACATATGACCACCAGCATCCACAAACTCATTTTGGGTTCTGTGTACAACAGAAACAGAGAGGCATCAAACAGTATACAGTACACAGAGCACTTCATATGAAGCCAAGATTCTGTCTCAAAAGAGATTGTGGCCACAAGGTCATGCCCGTGTCACATTTCCTGCTCTCTTCTCACTTCCTGCCCTCACCAATTTTCAGCGTTATCTCAGCCGATGTCAGCAGTGCGTTGCTCTGCCACAGCTCACATCTCCACTTTCCGCCATCTCCTGTCACCACTTCCGGGATGGTGAGATGGGCGAGGTGATGGTCAGATGTCAGAGACGACAGGGACGATTGTTTGGGGGGAAACCATTTCAGTTGCAGGTCAGATGGCAGCGGATGGTCGAGGCTGCAAGTCAGGTTGAGCTGCTGGCCAGAAATTAACTCTGTTCCTGGAGAGGAGATGACTGAAGAGACAGAAAGAGAGAAGTGCAGAAAGAGAGAGAGAAAAATATCACGAGCATGAGAAGATTTGGCAGGCTGGATGAATCATGTGCTCTCCTTCCCTCTACATTTTTCCTTCCCATCTGAATCTGACTGAGCATCTGTTGCTGCAGTGTGCCAGCCAAACCTGCCAAACTTAGGGGGAAAAAACACTTTTTTCAAATAAGAACAGAAACAAAGCAAAACATGACGGCATCAATGTGAAACGCGCACAACCATTCAGTCACAGCACCATATTTAATAAACAAAGACACATTCAATGTTGTTTGGTGGACGCTTGGTAGTGATTCCAGGGGGGGGGCAAAGTTGGAGAGAACCACAAAAGTTGCAGCAGGACTCTAGAGGGATTTAGTAAAACTTGGGGGTTCAAGAGAAAATCTGGGGACCCATATTTGCAAGATAGCCCCCTTTCTTGAAATCAGATTGGTGGACTTGTTTCAGTGTTCCTGGTTAAATAATAACTCAGATAAAAATGAGCAATTTTAGTTTTACACCATAAATCCTAAGATCACAGAGTCCAATTAAAATTCATTGTGTTATCACACTCTAATGGTGGAGGGAAAGCTTGGTATACTCTATAAAAATAAGTGGAGCTAGACAAGTGTATTAGCCACTGAATTAAAAATGTCACACCAGGGACACTTCCAAATAAACTCTGCAGCAGAGAGATGAAAACACTTGCACGGTACAACAGAGCAGAAGCAGCGAGGAGGCAGAGAAATGTCTCCAACTTCTGAATGACAATTAAGAAGGAAAAAAGAAACTGGAAATCAAGAAGATAAATGACGACACTGCGATAACAAAAGAACAAGCAAAAAAAATAAAAAATCATATGACGGATGTGAGTTCAACACAGAGCTAAGCTACAAATCAATTTATTTTGACTTACTTTGCAGCACCTTTACGTGCACAGTCCTGTTCACAGTCACACCATTTTTAAATACCAGGGCGCACACATAATCTCCTTTGTCTTCTTCTGTCCCTCGATTTCTGGTCAAAGACAGATCTTTTTTTTTAGGGTCTGTTACAGGGCGCAGTCCTCTGTCTTGGTTTGCCTTCCAGGTCAGTGGATCCTCCAGAGAGAGGGAGAAGAGACTCTGTGGAATCAAGCCTGATTCAGGGACAAAGTGCCAGCGGACATCTTGGATGTCTTTGGCTTTGAGTTGATCCCAGGAGATGTGAGCAGGTAGGGAACAAGGGATGGTGAGAGGGCAGGATTTAGACGTATATTGAGGATGTAAAGGAGCTGGGGAGAGGTCTAAATAGGAAGGAAAAGAGAGATAATAGCAAAGTTATCTTCAGGCTGAGGGTACACTACTGTAAAACAAATGCATACATGCTCATACACAGTAACTTACCCAAAACCGTAACAGAAACTATGGCCTTGTTCTCTTTCTTATCATATGTCACAACACAAGTCCACTGGCCATTTTCTTGGCTTGTGGCTCTCACAGTAAGTGATCCTTGACTTTTTTCATCTTTCCCTCCCGAGGGATTCAGCCACTGTATCTCTGGGCCCTTGAGACCCGGAAGAGTCTGTGCATTGCAGGACAGAGACAGTGAGTCCCCAGGCAGCAGAGGAGAGGGTGGGTTCACACTCACTAGGAAACAGAATGGAAATGATGAAAATTATAAAAGGTTTGACTTTTTTCTTAATGTGGTAGGTAATTTAATATTTTGACTGCTATGTGGCAGTACATTTCCATCAAGTAAACATATTTAAAAAAAATAGAAATACAGGAGCATTTTGGTAAAAACCTCCCAAAAGGTTCTTAAGTAAGAGAACGGCCTTGTTGCTTAGCTTGACTACCATGTTGATGAGTTTGTCCACTGGGTTTTGAAAAGACAAAAGATTGTAGAGCTTGACAAGTGAAACCCACAGCATGAAAACATGGAAAACATTCAAATTACACTTACTTTACAGAACACATTTTATAAAATCATACACTAGATTTTATGAAATATATCTGCCCATGACAACTACTTAAAGTACTAATGTCAAAAAGTACAACAGTCCTTTCAAATGAAAATGTAGCAGGTTGACTGAAGTGATCATGTCACTGTATTCTAACTCTTACCGGTGACTTTGAGCAGTTTATATGTAGCTAAGTGATGGTCACCGGTGCGTTTCAAGAGAAAAGTCCCAAAGTCATTTTGTTGGATGTCTTTGATGATCAGTGAGGTGTCAGACAAGGACAGCCTGTTTGTCCAGGGTTCATCTGCAAGGGGGGAATTAAATTATTGTTACTGTCAAAAGTACCTTTATTTGTTTCATTATATCTGCGAATAGCTTAATGCACCGTTCACCTGAAGTGGTCGACGATCCGCGCATGTTATTGCGCCAGGCAAGCTGAAGGCCATCCTCTTTTTCAAAATACCAGTACACGTACTCGTTTTGATTAATATCCCCAGGAGACTTAAGGGTAGCCGTCTCTCCCACCTGAGCATATATTACCTCTACTGCCCCTAAGAGAGTGAGAAGGATGTTATTTGTTGCTGCACAAAACCAAACTATCCTCAAGTGAAACAAATAAAATCATCTGCAGTCAGTGTGTCTCACCTGTTTTAGACCTGAGCACAGCAGCCAGGAGGAGCACGACGGATTGAATTACATTCCTCATTTTAGTCACACGTCTGAAAAATAGAAAACATATTTTTATAGATTCTGTACGATGATAATAATAATTCACTTTACTTGTATTGCAACTTTCAAATTCACAGTAGTTTAAACTACATAACAAAAATGTAATACAACTATTGATGAATGCTTAAATTGATTTTAATAGAAGTGCAGTGCTGTTGTAAAGACGTTTAAATGGATGTGATCTGCTCTCTTTTGCAGATTTCTTGATTTCTAGTCCAATTAAAAGAGCATTGCAATGGTAAAGATCAGAGAAGACCAAAGCATGAATCAAGATGAATTAAAGATAAATAGAATAAGCATCAGAGCCCTCAGTGTGAACCAAGTTATTGACAGATTTGGAAAGAAATACTTGAAAAGTAAATTAATCTTGTAGATACATACTTTACTACTACCTTACTATGTCTTATTACTTATGTATGAACATTTCCTGCAAAGAGAAATCATTCAGCAGGAAGCAAAGTTTGGTTTGTGGTGGTCTCAGATTTAGAGAGATTTGAGGGGATAAAAGAAAACGAGTTAACAGAGTTGAGAGTGGGCGGCCTGTGGTGGGTTTCTGAATGAGAAGAAACAAATGTCGGAGGGAAGAGAGACAGAGCGTACGTTGGGTTGTGGTGGGCCTTGATTTAGTTCAGGTGCAGATTCTTATCCCAATCCTCCCTCTCTGCCTCTCACACCCCCTCTCTTCCTCCCCTGTTCCACGAAAGACGGATCTCTTCACGCTTAAAAAGAGAAGAGAAAAGAGACCACAGCCCCAGCGGCACACCTAGACTGTGGTTCAAAGGTAGATGCTTCTCCCTCTCTCTCTTTCTCCTCCTCCACTTTTTCATCTCTATGGTTTGTACAGTATATGATTGTGCAAAAAACATATTTTATTTTAATGTTGCTTCTATATTGATTTGACCCTTTGAAATAAAACACATGTGAACATATGAATTAGATTTAATTTTGAATTAAACCCCCGAAGATCAAAATCAATCTACATTTTATTGATGGACTGTGAATGTAGCCGCACAGACCAAATTAAATTAATCTAATATCAAAATCCATGCAGATTGGAACACTACATATTCATGTTTATTAGGTGTTTTGCCTCAAGATGAAATAATGCATATAAGTGAGTAGACACGATGAGCGCTGGCTTCTCACTTGTCTAAAATTTCAAAAACTCACAAAATGATATATAATAAGAATGAGAAAAATAATTTCCATTGGTGTATTTTTTCTCTCTTAATGCATTGCAACACTTTTCAATTATGCATTTCCTTAACAGTTTTCATATTGGGTGTTGACAAATATTGTTGTGGTATAAAATATCCCTGGAGGTCACGGGGTCAAGGCGCCAGCCATGAACGCAATGTCCCAAGTTTGCGTCCGGCCAGAGACCTTTGTTGCATGTCATTCCTCCTCCTGCTCCCATTGTTTCCTGTCATCTCTCTTCTGAAAGCTATCCAGTAAATGCATGAAATGCCCAAAAAATCTCTTCAAAAGTTTCTTTGTCTCTCCATTAGAAGCAAAAAAATCTCTTCACAAACGATCCGCAATGACCCGTGAAAATGAGTTATGGCCTTCGACATAAAAGTATCAGGATGAATATTTAAAATGTATGAAAGATACAAAGTATCTTTTACTGCACAGACGTTGATAAAAGTCTGTTTATGCTTTAAACATGTTACGATCATCCGTCTGAGTCCCTTACCTCAAGAAAAGCAACAATAAACATTCAAATCTGAGGTGAAGTGTGTCAAGGAGACATGACTCAAAGCAAATGGTTTATGTGTTTCAAATGTATCTATAAAAGAAGGAGTGTCAACATGTGACGAGAGAGATGTATGAGATTTAATAAATGATGTTGCATTATTTATTATAACTCACATCTGGGTTTGTAAGACAGTAAGTAAAAGAAGAGAGCGGAGACAGAGCGATATCGATGATAAACAGACGTTCAAAGTCGCAGCACCTGTGGAGCTGAAACCCAGAAACCAAGATGGTCATGAGTGTCGTCAGGAAGGAGCTTCAACAACAAGCAGAGATGGAGGGGGAGGGGAGGGGAGGGGAGAGGAGGGGGGAGGAGGGCCAAACACCGTGGGGAGGTGAAGAGAGCGAGCAGAAAAAGGACATCACAATGTAATTCATCGATTAAAGTGCATCTGCTTTTCACTGAACTGAATTTAACATCTTTTTGAAACTTTACTTCTTAATGAATTATATACAGATATAGTTTACGAGCAGGAAAATAATTGTCGGACTGAATAATCAGTGGTACACAAATCACCGTTAAAGGCATCTCAACATATTTGGTTCAGATTGTCATATTAAAATGACTTTTAAACGTATTCTTTAAAGGTCCATATGAATTAAATGCACTGATACTTTACGTCTCTGATCTGTAAATTGTGTGTATAGCGGTATTTCACTTTGTGGTGTCTATTGTTTTACTATTTTGTGAATTTCAACAAAGCATGAAGCAAGAAAGAAGAAATGCAACAAATACAACAAAAAATTATTTGAAGTGTACTGACAATTTTATAGAAATCTGTTTTTATGATGTTTGTTGTTTATGATTTTCGTGTTTAATATTCTAATATTTCTTTCCTTTTTATTAAGATGATCGGTATTTGTGCGTTTGATGAATACATCTTGTTTTTTGTAATTAGATGAATATATAAAACTCTGTTTGCTATTTCGGCCCCGCTGGGCACGCGGAGATCTATCAGGTTCATAATTAATAATTAGTATCAGGTAACAGAAAAAGAGATTGCACTAATATTTGGTATGTACAGCAGTAAATGCTTTGATATTTTGAAGTACATGCATATTTAGTAAAACATTATTTTTAATTACAGTATACTCACATCTGTTGTCGAGTGCTGAATGTCCCTCTGTGTTCTGTGATCCGGAGTCGGGTGGAAAAGTTGAATATTTATCAAACAAACTCTCTTTTTAAGTGGCGTTGCACCTCCCTCATCACCGATTGGTCTGGAAAGAAAACACAGTCATCAACGACAGCCAGAATCAGAATAATGATCTTTGATTGGTTGTTACAGAGGAAGAGGGCAAGCGCTCTCAAGACAGTAGACAGCAGAAGCTAATCCCTTAATGTGTTAAAAATGTATGCTTTGTATTATATCATATAATACTTGATATCATTTGGGCAGTGTAATGGTGCCATATAATCGTCTTATGTATTCATGATATTCTTTGTTCCTTTTTACTTTTTAATCTCTCCAACAGAAAAACAAACAAATAATCTTAATTGGCTAAATGTGTTATTTGAGTTGCTGCCTGATAACGGTCTCCAGGGACTCATTATCTATCTTTAGCATGTTCTAAATAGCACATCGGCGGCTTACGGCCTAATTTATTATAATTGCTCAGTTGATTCTCCCCATGTCATATAATTGTGCTGATTTAGATACATAATTAGTTTATCAGAATTCAAGCCATGGAGCGCTCAACCAATCTTCACAAAAGCAGCTGAAAATGCAAATTAAAAATGAGACAGTTCCTAAAAAAAGAAAGAGTCAGATAAAGTGCTGCGAGGGGAAAAAAGATAGTTTGCGGGAAATTATCTCGCTGGGAGGGCTGTACGGAGAAATGTGATCATGTGAGTTTAATATACATATAAAACACAATAAATATATGAGGAGAGTTCAAATCCTAAAAAATACACCTTTCATCGTCTCGTCTGTAAGGTCAACTGTGTTCTCCCTGTGTCATTTTTCACACTCTGACCTACCAGCAATCTTATTTCTCATAAAAATGTTCGTTATTCAATCACTTTAACATTGATAACGTCTTTAGATATCTTCTAATACACGGGAACACGCTGTTGTGTTTTTAGTCTTCAGATTCATGAGATAAATGGAAGTAAAAGTTGTATAAATTCTAGCGGGTGATTTGTCTTCCGTCTGACAAACAGAAAGACTTTGCTAGCCATGGAACATGATGTCTTTTGTCAAAATAGTCAAACTGCTCTTACGTATTTGAAAACACTGATCACCAACCAAAGAAATGTATTTTTCCATCACTGTTTGATAACTTGACATATAAGCTGTATTGTCTTGTTCCATTGATGATGTATCACACGTCAAACATTCAAATGCAAAACACTGTCAGCACCAAACTTTATGTGCATGATTTCAGACACATTTCCTCGTACTCCAGCATGCCATGTTTGAATGTTTGATAGTAAAAAAGAATCTGACTGGAATTTAAATAAAGGTTTGAACAGGATCCTGCCAAACGGTCCGCACAGCTGGAAGAGATTAACAGTTCCGACTAAATGTTTTCATCTAATCTAATTCTTGTTTTCTGTTCCGATGAATTAGAATTCAATGATAATATGCAAAACAATCAGAATTAACAAAGCAAATGAGAGCAGCCAGGGTTTTAACAAACAAACCTATAAATGCAAAGTGCAGGTTTCAGCTCTGTGATAAGCAATATTTGTCCCTAAATAAATACTTACAAAATATAGTCGTGCTTTCATGATATATTTGTATGTATTTTCGTGACATGAAGAAAAACGATTGCCCGTCAGCCAGTGAGAAATTCAGATTACACTCTGCATGACAAGTAGTTCTTGTCGTACTTTTTGGGTAAATGTACACCTGTGCGGGAGCCAAACATCTGCTTGTGCTTATCTCCACTTCTGTAGTCTCGTCTGCACTCGATACAGCAGTAATATAACATCTGTGGCTTTCTGTTTGTTGTCTGAGTTTGTCTCTTCCAGTTTATTGGGCTCCTTACTGAAGTAATGCACAAAACTGCAAAGACTGTTACTGTTAAGATATCGCTTTACAACTGCACCGACCGGAGTTGAATACTGAGAGGAAAAAATCCTCCAATGTTTTATACAACCACTAATAAATATGTTTATTAACACATCAAATCACAAAAGAAAGTTTGCAAAATGATGCACTTAATGTGGAAGAAGTAAGAGAACAATACAGATAGTTTGAAGGTGTCAAGGTTTAAGATACATTTCAGTGTCATTTTTTATTGTACCACATTGACACATTGATTTTTAGGCATCCTAACAAATATAAATTCGTCCTCACAGCTGCAGGATTCATTAAGGGACTGGAGCTGCAGAAACACACTGCTGAGGTGGTTTAGAAACATGAACCACAACAAGGACAAAGCAAACATCTCACACACGTCTCATGTGTCTCTCTGAGGTTTGTCTGCCTGCCTCTGTACTGCCTTCATGAAGGGCTCACACCTGCTTCTGTTGCCTCTGAGCTCGAAATGAAACAAGCCTTTTGTTTGCTCCTTAGAACGAAGCCCTTCAAGTTATGGCCGCCGTACAGAAACATTTACTTCTAGGGCCTCGCATATTCACTTACGGAGCACCTGGACATAAATGTGGAGTACAGAAAAGGTTCAAATTTGAGGCTTTCTCAGTGGATACATATCTGTTTTTGAACTGTAATTTCGGTGGAAAACACCTGAAAGTGAGGACTCCCTCATTAGTCACAGCTAACGAGGGCGTGTGGCCCACATCGTTTCATTACTGAAAGAGAAAAAGACTATAAGTGTGGGCCACAAGGAAGAAGGAAGGGGTGATTCACTTATTTCATATATATCTCTACGTTTCCTCACCCTCCATTCACTCCCTCTGAGGATTTCCCTCACCATGCAATCTCTATTTTCTTTGTGTGACTTTGTGTGTTTTATAACCATTTCGAGTCAGACGAATGGTGTGCTCTTTCACCCGAGGCACGTAACCAAAACACTGTAGGCTGTCTGAAGCCCTGCGTATATACGGGAAGGTACCGAGTTTGCGCCGCATGTGACTGCTCTGATGTTTCAGAAATAAACAAAATGTCAGTGGAAAAGAAGTTGAGAATCAGAAACAAGTGACATTCTGCTCAATGACTGAAAACGTGTTTCATCATGTGGGGGAACTTCATTCAAGCTTCTTTGAAACTTCAGATTTGTGAAACAATAGATGTCTCTCCCACTCACTACATCATTCGTACACATCGATGCTTATTTTCGTGTGTTGCTGTATTGTTTGTGGGCAGCTGCATTGTTTCATCAGAATGGAAAAATAAGCTATTTTTGTTATATCTGGCAGGACTGTCATGTTGTGGTAATGTCAAGTCATGTTTGTGTAATATTTCTAAGAAGTTCCAACTGAATTATTTTTGTCATCGGAAAAATGCATCATAGTTTGCAAGTGCAAACTGTTACTGTAAAGTTGTCGATAACATAAAGCTGATTTTCGGAAGTAAAACGATGACGTTGGTTATCTCATGGAAAACCTGCTCCTACAGCGCCTACATACAGTACATACATACATGCAGCAACAACTGTTTCTGCAGTTAAAGTGACTATTCCTGTAAATAATCAGCTTGACCTTATTATTCATCCAATTACTGTCAGCATTAGACATCTCTATTAACGGGTGAGCTGTGCATGGAAGGTAGGAGTTGTTAAATGGGGTTATTGATACAAAGCACAAATTAAAAAGTGAACCCTGTTGTAAGATATCTCTCATTAAAATAGTTTGCCTGCCAACCCCCAATTTCCAATATCAAAGCATCTATGAACGTTTCTTTACTGATGCACCACAGTACATTCAGGTTTCATGCATTTACTACAATATTATGCTGCATTTTCAGTAAAGAAATGCTCTAAAATTAACGTAAATGCACCATTTTTGATATTTTAATGCATTTGCTCCGGCACTCCAATAAGTCAACGGTTAAGCCGCATCAAATAACCGCCACGTCTTGTTTCAATCCAAGCCGACATTACATGACGTCACACCACGTTATCTGTCCATCTCGACACCGTCAACTATCAAGCAAAGACAAAAACACCCCCCAAATGTATTTGCACAGAGTAGTATTTGTATTATTTTGAGCAAAAACACTCACTTAATACAGTACATAAGTAGAACATGTTATGTACTGTGGTAGACAACAAGGGTTTATAGTAATAAATCACACAACTGCTACATAGAAGCTGCGGCGCTACATCAATGCAGTAGCCTTAATATAGATCAGGAATCCCATTATTTATCGTCATATTTCTCTGAAATGTGTTCTACATGACAAGCACAGTCCATGGCGCATAAATGAGAAAAGAAACAGATTATTATTCATATCCACACAGCAATAATGTCACAACACAGACAGTTGCAGTGTATTCCATCTAACCGCTCCACGCTCAGTGTCGGACATACACAAGTGCACACATCTACCTCACAGTAAAAGCTTTAGTTAAGCATTTAGTTCAACCATTATGTTTCATTTCCTGGTTCAATGCACTTTGTCGTTGGCCTTCTGGGAAACATCGTCTTGCTTGGCAGTTTAACATTAAAGTTGCGCACAAGTTTACACACATTTGCAACGCTGAAGAGGCCTCACTCAACTGCCTTCTTGTTACAAGTGAAACGACAAACTAGACAAATGTGTAAATTCAATCTGAGACCGATCAGTGGTCGATCACAAAGTAGCAGTTATTTAAACACCGACTCCACTTATCAGAAGCTGCGTTGACATCTGAGACCTGCGTGCAACCGAAGCTAAACGTGAGGGGAGTTTACAGAATGGTAAATCACCTACCAGGTGATCATTTTCAATTTAAGGATTGTGGATTGTCTAAAAATAAAGAGTGCAGTTTGCACCTGTGGTTGGTGTCCAGGTGACTGTATGTTAGCTGCTCTCCTGGTGCTCTGAAAACTCACATTTCAACATGCTGACTGCTGCACCTGTTTTGCGGCCATCAAATGCTGCTGACTGGCATTCAACATAATATGACGCAAACTTATGCCAGGTGTTTGCATGGCTTTGTTTAACCAATAGGTACACTTTATATACTGTATATCATGATTTTCTCAGGTACTGGATACATGCTCCTGCTGGAATGATGGCCCAAATGGAAATACAAGAGGGAGGGACACACACTGGTTCAGAAATATCAGTTTCGCTTTGAATGATCGTGTATGTGTGTGTGTGTGTGTGTTCATTTGTGTAAGACAGACGATGAGAAAGAGGACTGAGTAATAGCCATGAAAAGGGAATCCTGTTGTCTCATATGAAAACACCCCCAAAGACGTTATATTTTCATAACAGAGTGAGGGAAACACAGCTTAGTAATCGCCTACAGAAGAGACAATGAAATGCACATTGAGCAGCTAAATATGTATGTTGACAAGCCCCTCGCCGCTCTGAGAGGGAGAAAAGACTTCATGACTTGTTTCTGTTACTATGTACAATGTAGTCCATAACACCCTTTCATTATTTTGGCTCTGTACTCCGGCACACAAATACAAACAACGACGGGTAAAGAGCTGACTTCAAGCCTCGTCTCTGTTTGAAGATGTTATTGAGTGTTTGTTGTACATAGTACCTTGAATTTTGGGACAATGCAGCCAAACAATGGTTCTGAAGAAATAGTTTCCTATGACCAAACATGGTCATTTTATTGACCGACGCATCTGTTTACAGGAAACCAAGCTGATGATGAAAGCCCCCAAAACAAGCAAGGCATGAAGATCACTGCATTACAGGTCCTTCAGAACAACACCGGGTAAAATACCTGCTGATATCTGTCGGTCACAGACTTCAAACTACAAACCTGCAACCAAATATTGAATATGAAAACTCTATATAGGTTGTTGTTGTTTTTTAATTAATACGTAAATACATTTTGGGTCCACTGAAAAAAAAAAAGTATAAATGTATGAGAGATATAAGAGCATACACTTTTGAATCTTATTCCTTAATTTGAAATCAGATGTGCGGGAAGAACGAGCCAACACAACAATAAACTTTGAATAAACTGAAATGTGCACACAAAACAAAATAGTCACAAACAACATGTCCTCCGTATGGACAGCACAGAATAGTACATAATGTGAGTCGCCTTGGGTGACTTCTTCTAAACTGATGGGTGTGTAGTTTTGGTGGTCGTGAATACAGAATGGACTAACACAGAAGAGGTTAGCAGATCTCTCTTGTGGCCTTTAATGCTACGAAACAGTTAGCATTAATCACCTGGGTAAAACGTGTGAAGCGTATTAGCTTTAATTATATTCCGGTTAATTCAATTCAAAATACTTCCTTTGTCCCTCAAAGAGAAATTCGAAGGCAAGCAGGTTTACAAATACAAAGACACAAACAATCGGTCGACACACGTAACAACAATACCAAAACACAAAATATGTCAATGTGAGGAAAAAGGTTGAAACGCAAAGGGTTAATGGCCGTCGCTGGCCAACACTACAAAGGAACATTACATAAAAATGTACAAAATGTGAAAGTGCATTTATCAATTTATACACAAGGTAAACTGACCATCTCTGTGCCGAGCCTGTTCACGTCTTACAGCTGCTGGCTAATAGAAGAATAATGTGTTTTTCTGAAATCATGTTAGATTAGATTTTTGAATGTCCTGAATAATGTTTAGGTTGATATTATCTTTAACATTCTCTGTGTTCATGGTCCTAAAATAAGAAACAAATCATGTGATTCATATGTTGATGAAATACAGACTGCCGTCTTCGGGATACTTGCACCAAATATTTAGTCTTTTCATGCTTCAAAATACCTCCAGGACTGAATTACAGTATTAGTGTTTGCAAAATATATTTCAAAACATATATTAGTTTTATTTCAGATTACTTGACTAACAGGACATGACAGAATTTGGAAAATTGTTACGGTAAGTCTTCACCAAACATGGACTCTAAATACGTAAGGCTTTATTTTTTCTTCAGTGTTCAGATTGGATAAAACTTTTGTTTTAAGGTACAATTATTTAAAACACCTGCACCTCTTGTGCCTCCTGTTAAGTGAGTCACATTACATATATATATATATATATATATATATATATATATATATATATATATAGCAGGTGTCGTGGAAGATTTCTATGTTAATCGGGAGAAGAAAGTTTTTGTTCACAAATCAAGTTCAAGTTTGTCTTTGTCCGTTTATTCTCTTGCAAGAGGGAAGAAAACCCAACAGCTACGTATTCAGAAGACTGTGTGAATGCTTCGACGAAGTATCAGACACCACATCGTTTTATACGTACAGCGGTCCACTCCTCAGATAAATGATACATAGGGAAGTACAGGTCTTTTGACACAGGCTGTCTTGACCTGCTCATTATTTAGTTTCTGCCAGGTGGGAACTGGGAACCAGTTACGGTTTTACGGACACATAGTCGTAAATATATTTTACCATTACACAGGTATGCTACATTAAGCACGTGGACTGCGACAAGCACATAAATGTCAACAGTTTAACCGCATTTCATAAGGAATTATTGAAGGCACATTGGAAGCTATTTGTTCAATCAGATCACTCCTCAGAAGATATATATCATGTAAATAAAGTGTAATTCTTCCTATTAGAAAGACTTAGTATGTCAGTAACAGCTTCTGAAATACAGTGAATTATTTCAAATGTCTTTTTTAATGAAAAAGCTTTAAAAGTTTTAAAGCTGCAAAAATCAATGTTCATGTTTGACAGTTTGAAGGCCTCAAAGTTGCACCCCGTAGCAACAGCTGACACCAACAGGAACACGATGTAGAGTAAACATTTACTATCTCCTTGTTTAATACTTTCAATATGTCCAGGGATTTTTTCCATAAACATTAGTTTGTGTAACACTTGCGTACAGCGCCCCATTGATTGCAAAATCAAGAAAATGTTGCCACCGTTATTGCATAAGTTCTGAACTTTACACTTCAAGAAACCGAATAACAAAGAATTCTATTTTAGGCGTTTCTGAGTTGAGATTTTGAAATCCTTCCTCAGGAGCATCACAACACAAAGAGGATCATCAAGGTGCAGCAAACACATCGCGGCTAACACATTAAAACAATTATTAAAGGCTAGTGATAAAACAAGCAAATCATTCAGCCTTGTTTTCCTCGATCCAAGTCATCTGTGTTTCTATTAGATTATTATCACGAGACATTCAGCCAGAGTACTGGAGATATTCTGGCTCTGTGTTTTGTTGTAATTATTCGAGATCATTTGTGTCAGTTTGAGGCAAATTACGAACAAGACGGAGGAAACCAAACCAAGGCCAAGACAACTCAAAACAATCAGTATGTTGTGGATGAGACCAGGTTTGAGTGCCACAGCTTTGCCCCTCAGTGCCCTTCGCTTCTGTCAACGAGAGTGCATCTCTGGCAGCGTTCGCCAGTATTTGTATATAGAAACAATTTCTTCCCTTATGGACAAACATGTTGCAATGCTGAATTATGCATCTGTTTCGAGTAACAATATCCCTTAAATCAGCATTCAAAACAAGTAGAATACTGAGTGTATATATAGAGTATGTTTAGAAGTACTCACATGTGATGTTCTCAGTGCAGCGATGAGTTGAGCTCTGACATTTGGTAGACTGTATGCACTGCACTCTTTCACTCACACACACACTCACACACACACACTCTCACACTCACACACAGGAAGTCACCACGATGATCCCATCCTTTCTGTTTAGGATTACAAAAATGAGGGTTTACATAGTCTCTCTCTCTCACACACACACACACACACACACACACACACACACACACACACACTATGTAAGCAATGTAGATGTTTTGGAAAGAATACTTATGTTGCAAAATACCAGAATTCCTTAACTCATATAAGGCATCATATATTTTGTATGTACTGTATGTATGTACGCATTAATGTATGTACTGTATGTATGTATGTATTAATGTATGTTTTTATGTATGTATGTGTGCATGTATGTATGTATGTATGTTGGTATGTATGAATGTATGTCGTTGGTGGTCTTGTGTTAGTGTGTGTAACAGGTGTTTACTGTGTTTTGTTACGTTAAGCGCTGCACTGGTGTCAACACCTGCATTGTTTCTGCACCAGTTGTGGGGAATTCAGAGCTTCTGAACTAATGCAGGCAAAGCATATTCAATAGCATAAAATTGTCAAGATATTGTTTGATATTATGTTGAACAAGATAAAAGTTATAATCTTTAGCATTTATATTTTTTTAAAGCCCTTTTGGGCTCATGGTTGGCTTTTTTTCTTGAAATAGCCATTAAATATACACATCCTGTCAATGATTACCGCTTTAAAAGATAGTTTGTATTGTTACTGGCGGCCTTCCCTGCACTGTTTTGAATTTACCTAAACGCACTCACAGGAAACAATGCGCATTGTGATTTCATCTTACAGAAAGAAGCCTCCCCGTCTCTTATATGTGTATGTGGATAAAAAAATATTTTTTCAAATTTGCTTTTGGGTATCCTTAGTTTATTGTCTGAGGCAAAAAAAAACATACAACTTCAATACAGTACTCTAATTTTTCATTTACAACCCACTGAAAAAAAACAAAGTATTAACATCTACCAAATACACAGAAACACAAGTAAGAAAGTATTTCGAAATCTGCTAAATTAATTTTTTCAACAGAGAGCACATTAGAAGTTGACAATTCTGTATTCAAAGATATTCTTCACATGTTCACATGAGGCATACATGACACAAATAAGCACAGGCTGTTGCTGTACTCCCAGTGGAGGAGCCCATTTGCATTCAGTTCACTGGTTATATTTGGTGAAAAAGCTCAAAGTGCCCACATCATTACATTTGATTTTTATTTCCATCTTGAGCATTCAAAAGGCAATTTACATTCATGACGCGTTCTCTTTCATTCGCTCTCTCTTTATCTTTATCTATTCCTCACTTTCCCTTCCTCTCTCTCTCTCTCTCTTTCTTCATGTCTGTCTTTCCTTTCTTCGATCTGTCTTTCATGTCACAGCATTAGCAGGGGTTGCAGAGGGGGAGCTGATGGCTTCTCTCTCCGGCGTCCTTGCTGCGGTTTTGCTGCAGCTGCTGGGCTGCGATAAAGAGAGGAAAGAAGAGAAGTTTTCACACTAATTACGACACTATAATGAAGCACTTGGTAAAAGGCACAGTGAGAATGAAGGTCAAACAGTCATTAATATAAAGTGAATAGAGTCTATTAGAAAGCATCTGTAAAGTGAATAGATATAACCGGAGAGGGGATAAAGTCATTTCTTTACTAGATAGAAGCCTGTTAAGAACATTTACCAGTCACACTGGCAGTACTTCTTTGGCTTCAGCGGCTGTCGTCCATTCTTCATCGTTTGAAATTTTCTCTGTAGCCGAAAAAAGAAAAAATCAAATTATAAGTAGTTTTGTTTGCCTCAGTAGCCCATCCTCCTTCGTCCCACCTACTAATTCCAATCTACAAAGCAGCATGTGAAGATTCCCTGGATGATTTTCATTACTGACCTTCTTTCTTTTGATCCTCTTGCACAGGACAATGACAAAGACCATTAGGAGAACCACAACCAGGCAGCCTACTCCAACTGCAACCCACACCCACCAGCTGAGCCCCAGCAGCAGAGCAGCAGTGATTGACGCCTGGTGGGTGACGCCTGGTTGAGCCATGAAAACAGACCATTGCAAAAAGCGAGGAGTCAATGACACGTCAAGTGAAGAGTCACTTTTGTTAATGTGTGCTCATAGAGAGTTTACCCAAACGAACACGAGCGGTACTCACAGTTGGGGCAGGTTGGTTTAAGGACGTCATTGGAGCTTTGGGAAGAGGATGGTGTAGCTGGTTCTGAAAGTAAAAACACAGCACATCTTGCTTGTGGCCACATAAGTAGACACACATAGGTTTTGTCGTGTTTGAAACCATATGCAAAGACTTTGGTAAAAGCCAGTATACCTTGAACTTTGATGGTTAGGCTCCGATCGTACGTCCCCCCGTCATGGGAGAACATACACTTCCAGGTCCCTGCATCAGAGCGGGTTACAGATTTGAGTGACCCCGAGTGTGGACTTCCATCTGGTGTCTTCCACTGCACTGAAGGGTCTTGGTCCAGACCTTTTACCTGACAGTGGAGCGTGGCTACGCTGTCCAGCAGGAGCTCACCGGAGGGTGTGGCCCAGACTGACACAGAGAGGGAGAACAGACGGGGGAGAGGATACGGTGAGAACCACAAAGAGAGAGCAGAGGCCATGTTGGACTAAGGGCTTCCTCCAAATCATTGGGAACGTGACACACCCTTATGACATGATATTACGAGTTGAATGAAAATGTGTCACATTGTCTGCACAAATAGCTGTTTTAATAGGTTTGAAGAAATAACCCTTTCAACAGGAGGTCTATGTTTTAAAGATGTAGTTTACCAGGCAGGGAGGGTCTAGTGAAAAACGTTCTCAAGTTGTATTATGGGTAATGTGGGACCCAGTGTTTTTAGACCTTGAGCCATTTTAGGGACTAGAATCAGGATATTTCAGATTTTGCTGCTTTGATTTTGACCAAACCTTTTCTTAAATATGTCTGTTTTAAATCCCCCAATGTTTATAAAGATGCAATCGTAAATTGCTGGAATACCCCTTAAAGGCATTTAACATATATTAAAATTATATTATGTGTGTGTGTGTGTGTGTGTGTTTACATCATCTTTTGAATGAAATGCCCACATTTCTTTTAAAATTAATTCTTCAAAAGTTACTATATTCGTTTTGTAAAATGGCTGGAAATAATTCTGATTAATAAACAGTTGTTTGAAAACTTTATTTAATTTGACTTCTCTTTGTTTACTCACTTCAAAGACTTTTTTCAAATAATTATGGATTTTAAAATATTTGAACTGCGAGTATAAATGGGGAGGATTTTTATTTTACACAATAAAATGAGAATCAAAAAAGAAGATGTATTTAACATGACCTTCCTTTTTTTTCATTGTAACAATTCGATTTTTTTTTTTGTGTCTTCTGCTCACCTGAGACCACAAGAAGTATGTGTTCGTGACGGCTCCCATCTGCAGTGCAAATGAACTTTCCGGCATCTTCTTTCTTCACTGCAGAGATCTCTAGCTTTGTATCCCGCTTCACTGTTGACCTTCCGACAATATCAACTGCCCCTAAAGCAGAACATACATTTCGTGTAATTAACAACAGTGACGTTCTTAACGCAATATATTTTGCTACAGGTAATTTCAATTGTTTGTTTTTTCAAAAGAGCTGTCTCAAGTCTGTCTGTACCTCTGAGAGGGAAGCCGTTCTTAGGAATACTATGTATCAGGTCATCTCCACGATGCCACACCAGGCGGTCATTGAAGGCGTTGACCCCACACTCCAAGGTAGCCTTCTGCCCTAGATTTGTGAGGATCACTTTGCCGGCAGCAGAAAGTGCACCAAGCACTGAAGAGAGAAGATCAGATTCATGAAGCACATTTCACTGGGTATGATATATATTCACAGGAGGATACCTCAAACTCTGCGTATTTAGACAAGAACAAACTGATGTTATTGTATAACATATGTTATTACTTTGCATTGGAGATTCGTAGAGTGAATATGAAGTTTAAGGGCAATTTATCAGGTTAAATCAGGGAGTAAAACACAGATGCAGTTATTTCCCCAGGAAGACGAAGAGTCTCAAAAACATAAAGGGACATATTTGGATCTATGTTACCGGCCACTCATTAACCCTTTATTTTTGAAGAACTAATTACAATGATTTTTAGTAGAAGTATTTTAACTCACCAAACACAAACCACACGATTGTCTTCATTTTGAAAGTTGGATCTAAGTGGAAAAAGTAACACAAATGTGCATTTCAGTCAAGACAAAAGTATTTAAGGAAAAACACATATAATGCAGTGGTTCATGGTGTGAAAGATACACAACACACAGCTTCTGTTTGAGACAAGCACTTGACCAAAAAACATGTGATCCCTAACCACCGAGCTAGCTCTCTACTTCCTTCCTCTCTCTATCTCTTGTATCAAAAATGTAAAACTTCGTAGACTTGCATAAAAAAACTAATGTCACTTGGAAAATTCCAGCATGTGTTTTCGGCTCTTTTGCATTTAATTAACACGCTCAATAATGCATGTAAAGATGCTTCGCTGCAGACCAAATCTGGTCTGATGGTACATCACAAATAAGAACTTTGTCAGAAAATAAATGTGCAGTTTTCTTACTAAGAAGACAAACAAATAATAGTAAATAAATAATGATTCTCATAACATTTCTGACCCAAATCCCTCAGTCTGTTTCCACTGCTGTTTCACAAATTTGAAAGGTTTAAGAATTTATTTCAGCAAGCTTAAATACTGATTTTAAAGTCACAAATCATGTCTTTATATTTTAGTTATTTTGAATAGAAAAAACGATTACAACCTGCCCAGATAAATGGTATATATCATTTGAATAACTATACATCTGAAAAGCTCTCGTCTGACATATTAATATATTTCGCCTCACTGGTCGAATAATAGTCAAAATTGAGATAAGAATCGTTCGACTTTAAAATCAGATCAACCTCTATATATAGACTTGAGGCTTCTGCACATGGGTACGCATATTTTTCTTCTTAACGATTAATCTAGGCGCCTACACTTCAGTTTTTAAACAAACTGTGGTTTGATTATAGAGACATAAGGACACACAATAGCAACTTAGAAAGTGTTAAATAAACAGATTTTACTAATGTGGTTCATCCGTTATGTTAAGTTTGGACGACAGAGAAAAAGATATTTTAAAATGGTCCCGTTAAATCCAACAATTGCAGTTTACAATATAAAACTCGATTTCATGATCTAGTTTGAGATCTTACCTTAATTTTGAAACAGTGCCGTTATTATTCAATTCCAAAATCTTTCCTCATCCTCTCTGTGCTTCACTTCATCGAAAACAAAAGAGCAAGGATGCAAAAACTGCAGAAGGCGGAAGACATCTCAGAAAAAACATGCACTTTGGAGTTGTAGGCCTATGCCAGCCCTCGCTTTGTGGGTTCTGCTCTTTCTCACTAACTAGGCCAGGGATTCTCTACGTAGTAGTTTGACATGAAGCTGAGAAGTTATTTTCAGTGGCTTAAAATCCCTGGTTTACAAATAACCTAAACAAATAGAAGTGAAATAAGCTGAATGTAACGGTAACTCCATGAAGACGAGTTCAAAAAGAAACAGGCAGTGACAGAAAGACAATTCTTTATTTGTCACAGCAGAAGTAACAAAGGATTTGTTTGCAAAATAAAACAAAAACCACCCAGATATCACCCTCACCAAACTTTAAAGAAACAACTGGTTGATTGGTGTTTTGACTTGTTTTTTAATTTTTATTTCCTTTCTTCAACACACATTTGAGCCGTTATTCATTTGTTTGATTCACTGACATTTCCTCTCATCGTGGATGTTTAACGGTTTCTTTTTTTTTTTACTTCCTCACTGAAACGGGCAGAGGAGAAGTTAGCACCCGGTTAAAATGGTGACACCAAACTGTAACCGTCCAATAAAAGAGGGGGCTGGAAGCAACACATTTTGATGGGGTGGGGCAGTGACTACTGCGGGCAGTGGAGATCAATAGTCAGGACATGGATCAAGGTGATAGTTAGGCAAGGAGTGAATGGATTTAGCAACCCTCTCATGGTCGGGGGGGGGGGTGTTCCATGAAGCTTTGTGAATTATCTGGATACAGTTCCGGAGTAAAACCTGGAACACGTGCTTTAACCAATTTTACTCAGCATAGTATTCCATTCCAGGTAAATAACTGAATATGCTTCTCTGAACACGCCCACGGATTGTAATCATGGATAAAAGGAAAAAGCTCCCTCCCAGACACCTCATCTGTACATCGGCACCAATGTATTTAACTGTGTATATATGCAATCTGAGAGATTTATTTACACTTAAGTCAGTTGTGAAGCATGCCGGGGCATTTGTAAGAGCTCGATGGGGTGTGACTATAAATGCTGTCTTGTGTGTTTGTGTTAGCGTCCACATTTCTCCTGCTTCACCCCGGGTCTAACACTCCCGTGTCTCATTCAGCCACCCTCCGGTAGAAGTAGAGGTATCCCAGGTCTTTGGGAGGCTTCTCTGAAGCGCAGACCTTCTGATCGTTGAAGATGACCCATCTTATGAAACAGAGAGATCACTCAGTTCACGAAGAGCTACTTGATGACAGACAGGTAATTGATTTGATCATATATACACAAAATAGAGTGGCTTTTTAAATCTTATTTGAGAATAAAATATCCACCACTTGGGTAAAGTGACAGTTGCTTTAACAACATCATTTTAGAACATATAAAAAGGTCCTTTTTGAGCAAGCTCAGGTCATGTATTTGTTCAAAAAAATTACTGTTTTCTCCTTCAGTGGATATAAACTATTCAAACCTCACTTCTAGGACAGGTTTCCTGTGTTCAGGTTCAGACCTGGAGTCTGGTGCCCCCTGTTGAGGCACTGCAGAATTAGCTACTTCATTACTTTTCATCAGTGTTTCTCAAATGGGGGTACTAGTACCCCCATTTTATCTCAATGATACTTTTGATGATGACACATTGGGGCTTTGAAACAGCAAAAATATCCCTTAAAGCTAGAAACCAATGTGCAAAAAACCCCCCCACTTACTGCTGATCCTTCTTGATGTGACAGACGTAGTGGCCGCACATGGTGCTCGTCCCCATGTGACTGATGAACGCAAACAGCTCATACTCTGAATAAAGGAGAGGAATCATGTTAAATTATAATTAGACCATATACATATGACATACAATATAAAATATGAAATCAAATTATGATGGCAATGCCGCTGCCGTCTACATGTCATGTTTCTCAACATCCTGGTCCTTGAGACTCACTTCCTGGTCCATCTTTGACACGAGGCCCAGGCGGAGGGTCTCTGCCACCCTCGCTCTCTGCGGCTGAGCGACCGCCTTCAGACACGTCCATGGACTCCAGGTCGTCCAGGTGGGAGAAGATCCAGTCCACAGCCCGGTCCAGGACATTACTCTGTGGACCAGACACCAGTTACAGGATACATAGTCAGGGAAAGTCAATAAATGGACCATTTGGTCAAAAAATCAAGTGTTTTCTCTGGTACTGTAGCTAATGATCAGACAACAGCAGAACAAAGTGTTGCTTATCTCCATCATCTGGAGTGGAGGTTTGAGGGTCCCCCAAAAATGAAGATCTTGACCACATCCATGGACTCCAGGTCATTAAAATATGATGACTAAACTTTAACCTTTGTTGAGGTATTCATGCCAACAACTGGTAAGTTCCCACAAATGAGGAAACTTGGAAACATGACTGTCAGAATAAAAAGGGCGCAGCTGTGCCTGCATTCACACTGCTCTACTTTTAGACTAGTGGCACATGAAATCAATCAAATCCTCATCTCGAGCTGAAGGGAGAGTGATTCTAACCGTGGCTCGGAGTGCTTTGGTTGCCTGGTCTCGGCTGAAGCCCATGGACACGATGGTGGCCAGGTGCTCCTCGGAGAGGCTCTCAGTGGGTGTGGTCCCGGAGCTGCAGCCTGGCAACACCAGGGGGGCCGCAAAGTCTGCAGCCAATCAGAAGGAGCAGAACATTAGTGAGAGGAGCGATCAGACTGATTAATGACTTGCGTTCCAGGTAAAAATCCCACAGCTCTGCACACCTGGGTCATCCATATGGCCCATGATCCAGTTCATGGCAGCATCGATTCCAGTGTTCCCAGTGTAGTACACCGCTTTCCTGCAGGCGTCCAGTGGGAATCCCATTTCACATAACTGGGACACAGTGGAGTCATCAAGGACTGGAGCTGAATGTGTTGAGGGGAAAAGGTTCATTTACTTAGATGTACTGTATGCATTTCACATTGTTATCTCCTCTATGTCATGAAATTTACACACAAAAAAATATGTTAATGTCCTTCAATCAGAGGTGAGGGGATGACGCCGCGTGACCTTTAGTTGAAATGAAACTCAATAAGGTAAGAATAAGGCAACAGAAGGACACAAGAAAAAAGAAAAAGTCAGAAAAAACGAAAAGGAGGAAACGAGGGCGGACCAATAGGAGTGAGGAGGAGAAGAGCAGAAACGACAGACAGACTAACACAGCAGTGGGGAGTAGAGAGAGTCGTCCTCCTCGTTGCCATGGAAACCCAGGATACCTTTAACCTCCACATCTGGGGTCATGAGTGAGGGCGGGGCCACCTCTGGTAGAAGCTCCTCCCCCGGCTGCTGGCCAGTAGCGCGTAGGGCGCTCAGGTCCAGAGTGTCTGGAACGTCAATGCTCACGTCTGCAGAGGAAAAATCATCGGTTACCCATCATGCACTTTGGTTTGAATATTTGTTTTCCACACTTTTTAATTTTAGAAACGATATTGGTGAATGTCAGCTGCTAAAATGTCAAATAAATGCTAATATGTGCCGTGTTGCTATATCCATCTGCAGGTAAAGAACAGCTGAGCAGCTGCCCTTCCACTTGTGAGCTATTTTGTAAAGATTTAATTTGTAGATCTTTTGCATGTGGCTACAGGTTAATGCCAAACTTCAGTTAATTTTCTTAAGTTATTGTTTTTTTTGGTATTGTAACTATTACAACAAGTCTTTGCCAGAAAGCGCCGTAATAGAGAGCTGAACGTTTTGTTCCTCCTGATTTTTTGTGTAGACAGGCTTAGAATTTAAGTTTTCTTTTTGTCTAATTTATTTATTTATTGTGGATTTAGTTCTACTAATGGATGATTGGTTTGTTATTTGGGCCAGCTAAAATCCAGCTTCTATACCTGTCAATAAAAGTCATATCTACTCATATTCTTCATGTCGTCTTACGTTACTTCCTTCTCTCGAACACATGCAAAAGCAACAGCCTGGAGACAAACAATTGCACTCTTTTTGATTTCCCCAGAGTTGTCCTCTATTCCACCAAACTACATCAATGCACTTCAAACAAAATGGAGCAAAAGCCATCAATGGCCTCCAAAATCTCTGCAATTTAACTTTAACTGCACAGGAAATTAACATATTTGCTGTGCGCCAGTGTAGTAATCAGAGGCGGTTATGTAAATTTCAGTCTCAACACTAAACACAAGCTTTATGCGTATGAGAGGCAAACGAGTCTCGCTGTGATTACTTGCAGTAACAGACACTGACCGGTCAATCAAGAACAAGTACTTTGCATGTGGCCACGGTATACGACAACTGTATAAATGACAGTGAGCCTGTACAACATGAATGTGTATAAGGAGTATTAATACAATACTCAGTCCTGTGTCTCAGTGAGCAGATTTCCAACTCTGTTAGGATTAGGAATAGACACTTTGTGTAGAGAAAGAACAACAACACAGTCATTTAATAATATCTTTGCTCACCCAGTTTTTTGGGCACCCAGTCAAGGCCAAAGGTGAACTTCTTAATCTGGATGACCAGGTGGTCGGGGAAAGAGGCAAAGCGGGTAGTTCTGACAAAAGAGACAAAAGCTGGCATTAATAAATACATCTTGAGATTTGCTTCATCACTCTGAGTATGTGCGACTGTCTCTCTTCATACTTGGTAGCAGTCGTCTTGGACTGCACAGCCGAGCTCCAGAAGTCTGTGAGGATCTCTGGTTCACTGAGGGCCGCCATGCAAGCTGTGAAGGGGATTTGAGCTCGCACTGTGGGGGCTGAGGAGTCCCCCTCCTCACGCCGGCGCTCTGCCTCCTGAAGCTCTTCTGTTAGAGAAATACGTTCATTTTTTGAGAAACACAACTACAACTAATGCTACTACCACTCACCCTTCTTTTAAGTGGCTACGTCTCCGGTCTGATCTCGAGCACACAGCTGATCGGTACGTGGTTTGTTTACATGAGGTTAGTTAATGCTTGCGGTTTCTTTCAGAAGGAAGAATTAAACAATAACAGTGCGAGTATGAGTTGGACATTGTATCCTTCACCTGTGTTGGTAGCCTGGTCCATCAGCACAGGCAGCTGGACGATGTAATCCACCCGCTGCGTGTACTTGGCCTTCTGCGACTGCTGACACACAATCCTCTCCTCCACCAGGAACCTGAAGGCTTCAGATGGGTTGGACCCAGAGCGACAGTTCCTCTGTGGGTGAAAAGAAATAATAA